AGATGATGGCCGTACCCCATTCTTAAGAGTCAAGCACTTCCCCCGCTGTCGTCTGGTCCACGCCAAATCATTAATCTGGCTTCTGGCTACACGCTTGCTCACTGACGCGGATGTACGCTGTCCTGTCACCTCTGCCGCTGAACACATACCGCAAGCCACCAGGGGTTATTCATATCTGTCAGCACTCCCGACGTCTACATCTACAGGTGCTCACAGCCCCCTCATACAAGCTGTGACTCTATCGGCATACAACATCTGTACACCTTTATAGACAACGACCAGTCAACACTCAAGCAGTGTCAAGAAGAGTCTACCTCTCGCTTTGTCACCTCAGCCGAGGCCGGACTGTGTGAACAGGCCGTGTGTTCAGACATTAACTTTTCGGTTAAGGACTAAAAAAAACGCTGGACAGCGTTCCGCCAGTTGACTTTTCGAAACAAGAAAGGAACCAGTGAATTCTATTGGGACCAGCGACACATGAACTTTCGTGAATGGGGATGCCATTTTTGACCATGTGCAGTGACATTTGACATTTATGAATCACTCTTAATTCATTATAAACTAGTGTCCAAAAGAAACGATACCAACTTATTTTCAAAATTGTTTTTTACTAAGTGAATTGTCAAGTATGAAAACATGCCAATTCGTATTGCACATCCAAAACACAGCATAGTCGATAAAAAATACCGGGAACACGTGATCACTTCCGGGAAAAAACTTCGTAAAGGGGGCATTTCCCTCTCTAGCATGTTCTGCACGTGCAGAAAAACTGTATAAAACGGCTGATCAGACACGTTGATATCACAGCAACAAAAAGAACACAAAATATGCCACGTTTGACAGCCATCGAGAGAGAGAGAGCCGTTGGAATGGTCCAACAAGGAGCGTCACACGTCGACGTCGCCAGAAGGTTGGGCTGCGCACGCATCACTATCACCAGGTTGATGCAGCGGTTACGTCAGACAGGTCAGACGTCAGACAGGCCCAGGAGTGGAAGACCACGAGTAACCACGCCCCGTGAAGATCGTTACATCCGGGTATTACACCTGAGGAACCGCACCGTAACAGCGACGTCCACGGCGGCTACAGCACTGGGACACAGGATCAGTCGACAGACCGTCTACAGGAGACTACGGCAGTATGGTATCCGGCCACGTCATCCCTATCGCGGACCGCTCCTGACGGAACCTCGACACCGGAACAACAGACTGATCTGGGCCAGGCGAGTTCGACGTTGGCAACGGCGGGACTGGGCACGTGTTATGTTCTCTGATGAGAGCAGATTCCTCATTTTCAGAAACGATGGACGGCAGCTTGTATACCGACGATTTGGTGAACGTTTGGCGCCTAACTGTATCCAACAAGTCCGGCCGTTTGGAGGTGGAGGGTTAATGGTTTGGGGTGGGATATGTGGTGACGTCAAAACGATGCTTGTCGTAATTCGTGGAAACCTGAATGCACAGCGTTATCTTGATGACATCCTACGGCCTGTTGTGGTGCCCTTTATTCAGCAACAGCCTCGTGGACTCCTTTTCCAACATGACAATGCAAGGCCACACACAGCAAGATTGACACAGAACTTCCTTGCCAACGCCAACGTACAGGTTTTGCCATGGCCCGCATGTTCACCGGACATGAATCCCATCGAGCACTTATGGGACCACCTCGATCGGCAAATCCGACGTCGCCGTGTGCCTCCAGTCAACGTCCAGGACTTGGAACGATGTCTCCTCCAGGAATGGCAACGCATCACTCCCAACGTCATCAGACGTTTGACGTCATCAGTCCGTAGGCGTGTTCTGGCATGTATTGATGCTCACGGTGGACATACCCGCTACTGACTTGACTTTTAGACGTGTGGTGTGACATTTCCCGATGTTTCTGTGATCAGTGCTCTAACGAAATGTTCATTTTTCGACCCCACCCATCTTTAAAGGCTTGTCATATTGGTTGTACAGATTTTATTGAAATGAAATTTTTGTACAGATGTTGTGAAAGGATTTCTCAAAAGCATAACACCAATCCTAAACTTCTGCATTGTTTAGTTTTTCTTTTATGTCGTTGCAAACAGGTGGTATCGTTTCTTTTGGACACTAGTTTATATTGTACTTGAATACTCTATCGTGATATTTATGCTTTGTGGTTATGAAAAGTAACACAGGATCAGTTCTTTTATTCTTTAGCATGTAAATACATTTTTACTGTTAGCGTATTCGCTGTTTTACGCCTATTCATAAAAATGTTGAAATTGGATATTATTTCCAATATGGAATCAGTGATCCTGTTTTGCTTCTATCGTGTCCATTGTGATTGTATTTTACATCTCAGACTCATGCTCATGTCATCCGAGCTGTGGGCAGCTCGTGTCCAGGGACGGGGGATGTTATAAGGTTACGACATACATGAATTCATGGTCAGATCTAACTTTTATCGAATCAAATTTAGGTATTGTGACATGTGACAAAGACAGGCCAGGCCCGAGTACTATAAAATGATACCGTCAACATTAGGAGAGGTGAGCGCGGTTTGCAGTCGATCGAGTCGAATCCAGATCGTTTTAAGTTCTCCCAACTTAGTGACGAGCCTGGCCGGTCTTATACTGTCGTGTATTGATAGATGGACTGAGAGTAAGTAAAACTAATGTGAGTATAAAGCTGGTGTTGTATTTCTTTATTATGCGAGTATAAATGCTGGTGGAGACAATTCGGAGTAAGCGTCGTTAGACCAATCACTCCTTGACTGAGCTGAGCCGAGGCTGACAAGGCGAGTTGCAAAGTCATGGCTTAACTGACCATGATGACCAGGAACGGCAGTACTTTCAGTAATTGTATGGTCGCACTTGACACCCGAAAGCAGTTACGACATTACCTCGACTTTGCATCTTATAGAATATGTGATGTAATTCCGTTGTGTGTGGACCTGTAGACTTGAATTGAACTGACGAGGGGGTGACTTCAGCTTTCGAATAGTCAACTTTCTCTTTACATCGAGCAATATTCCAGCAGTTGCAGATTGTCTTGGGCGTTACGATATATACACACACACACACACACACACAAGTTAAGCACACCTCTATTTCTGAACCATGACAAATCTGCCATGGGATGACCGACCACAGGAGCTGGGCGATACCAATGTCATCGGATGGAACAAACATTTGACAACAAATAAAGAAGATATTGGTGAGTTGTGATTGAAATTTACTGACAAAAACATCATGGTAACACAGATACTGTTTTTGACCTTAGACAATACCTAAAAAAAGTATGGAGCTGCAGGATTATGTAAACGAGTTACGTTTGATGTTTCATGTCAAAATGTTCTCTACTTGACATGACACGTGAAACAGATCAGTAGCGGGTATAACCGCCACGTGCCCAGATGACGCATTCCCCTTACGTCTCATGCCTCCAGTCAAGCGTTGGATCTGTTGATGAGTCAACAACTCCTGATGCAATGCTGCTTCCAATTGGCATACATCTTGTACAGGAGGATCTCGTGCCTGTATGCGCCGCCCCAGAATATCCAAAAACATGTTCAAGGGGGTTCAAATCTTGGCTCATTGCTGGCCAGGGTAGAGTCGTTATTGCATTGGCCCTCATGTAATCCACGACTGCATGCGAACGATGAGGCCTGGCATTTTCATCCATGTACTGAGGTCGAGTAGCAAGAGGGTGGTTGTCAAAATGAGGAACGACGACTGGCCTCAAAACGTCCCGGATGTACTGAGCCCCTATTAAGTTGCCCCTTTTGGTGACAAAACCCAACCTGCAATCATGAGAGATACACCCCCAAACCATTACCGAGCCCCCGCCGTATGCAACAGTCGGTTTAATGTTCCTGTGGGAGTGGGCCGTGTTCCGGTGCTCCAAATTCTCGTTCTTCCATCAGTGACGTGGAGCAGACAGCGACTTTCATCTGACCAATGGATCCGTCTCCAAGTTCTCAGATTCAAATTCTGTCATGCAATACACCATGCTAAACGAGCAGCTTTGTGGTGATCTCTCAACAAGGGACGCTTTATGACTCGTCTAGCCCTCAGTCCTGCTGCTTTCAGCCGGTTCCTGGCGGTTCTGCTGCTAAAACGACGATTGGGCAACCACAGCTTTTTCAGAGAGTACTTGTAATAAAGGGTTCACGGTGTATGAGACGAAGAAGGTCCCTGTCTTCGCGATGTGTCGTCACAGGAGGTCTTCCGGATCTGGGACGGTCTGAGCATGTTTCTCGACTAAACGGCTTACGACAGTGTGATGACACCACAAATTCCGACCAATGGCATTACAAGACATTCCTGCGTTATGCATGCCGATTATTTGCCATTTAGTGGCGTTTGATAATCGCCTTCGTGCCATGGTCACACAATGTCTTGAAATAACTGTTTAAAACCGAGCTTAAGAAAGCAATTTTAACGTTTGGATATACTGCTATTAGAGATACTCGAGGGTAGCATGCTGCACGGGCCTACCATACATCGAACGTGAGCTTTCGCCAGGCATGACTGATTACATCATCTTGAGAAAACATAATTCTTCCCGTAATTATATCTTTCATGGCTGTTACAAATATTGGGACCAAACAATAATGAAATATATTAGGGTGTGCTTAACTTTTTTCTTTGTGTATAGTTGACGGGATTAAACAAATTCATCACCATGATGTCATATACATATTACTTTACGATGATGTAAAGGGCGGGGAACACACAAAATGAACTTCCCGGTAGTGAAAGTAAAAATAACGTTCCAATGTTTTACAAATATAAATCGTTTAGTGGACCAGATTGGTATTCTAAAAAATACGTGTTTGGTTCTTCCCTTCAGAGCAGTTATGTCTATCTTGAAGCACCGATCGAAATAACTGGACCGTGACAAACAAAAACTCGAACCCGGCCTCCGACGTGTTATTCAACGTGTTAACGATTGGGTTAACTCCCGCCTGGAGGCATGCTGTTTGATGATGGGGACACAACATAGGTTTTGAGCAGACCGAAGGCGCTCAACCATTACCCATTCACCAAAGCAAATACTGTATCCCTTGAGTGCCCTACCATGTAGCTGATGACCTCGTAATGTACACACGGCTTGTGAAATCCCACCCGTTATATTTTCATGTAGATGTACACGCCCTTACAGCAACACAACATGCACAAGTATGGTCGGCTATATGCTGGGGGATTAGAAAGAGTGACGAGGTAATTTTCGCTTTATCATGGCGAATAGATGATGTTTGTGTGTGGAAGATTCTGAACTGGAATCTTTATCTGTGTCTCCGGCATTAATGTTTTAGAATTGCTGTAGGGTGGTTTATTTGTGTCTGTTCACAAGGATTATCTACATACCATGGAGTATCACACTGCCGCAGTGACTGGATTGTTATATGTGTTGGTGATTCAGCTGTCTACAGGTAAGCTATTGTATTATGACGTGTATGATGATTTTGTTGGTTTATGGTTAACACCGCACTCAGCAATATTCCAGCAATATGACGGCGGTCCGGACCAGACAGTCCAGTGATTGACATCATGAGTATCGATCCGGGAAATGGGATGACATGCATCAACCCAGTCAGCGACAAACATATAGTCACCTTTTACGACAAGCATGGGTTGCTGACGACCTATTCTACCCCGGAACTTCACGGGTCACATCGCCACTGAATCATAACAAAAGAAACATGTCAGTATAAGATAAGTGATATGCGGATATGTCTATTTTAGAAATGCATGATGACGTATATATTTTTCAATCCCAGTACATACTAGAACCTGAATGATTTTGCGAATAGAGATGGAATCCGAATTGGCGGACAAGGTTTCGGGAGTAACGAACAGCGGATGTGAATGTATCGAAGTCCAGATTTTGGTTTTATCGATTGTTTTAATAATGTATTGTTTGTTTGTTTATTTGATGTTTAACGCCGCACTCAGCAATATTACAGCTACGTGACGGCGCTCTGTAAATAATCGAGTCTGGACCAGACAGTCCAGTGACTGAAGTCATGAGTATCGATCCACCCAATAGGGATACAATGACATGCTTTAACCAAGTCAGCGAGCCTGACCACCCGATCCCGTTAGTCGCCTCTTCCGACAAGCATAGTCGCCTTTTACAGATAGCTTGGGTTGCCGAAGACCTATTCTACCCCGGAATCTTCACGGGTCTCCTGATTTTATTATCCTGGTTTTGTTTAATCGTTGCTTTTTAAACAGAGGCAAGCACAAGATCTCCAGTTAGGAAACCAGTTCTAGAGACTTCCCAGTCAAGACCCACTGACGGGGACCAGTATACGTTGATATGTAATTATGATGGGAGAACGGCCGATGGGGACTTTGCTGTTATGCAAGTATTTTGGTACAGAGACAGCAGTCACGTGTTCACGTCACCATCGGGGAGATTGGTACCAGACAATGCATCTGATCTAGACGGGCGTGTCAGTGTGAGAACTACTGCTTATCAACATAACATAACCATCAGCATCAACGCCAGCATAGACAATGGCTCCGTGTGGTGGTGTGGGGATGAAGTGACAAGGCAAGACAGCAACAACATCACAATCAGTAAGTATAATTGGTCAATCACTATCATCGATATCTTAAATATGTGTTTATAGATGAATAATAGATGCAATATAGATGCGACTTCAGTCATGCAATAACACCTGACAAATAACACACAATGAAACCTAGTTAATCAGAATTGCAAGATTATTATTGGACATCGTCCACATTAACCAATGTCCATATTGTGGAAACATCGATGCAAAGTGATTTTCCTTAATTAGTATGTATACAACAAAAAGTATCTGCTTCATATAAGGTTAAAACAATTATTTATTCTGACATGTATCATGAAGTCATATCTTCCACCTTGAGGTCGTGATACACAATTTGCACGTGCATTGTAAAAACAATACCGTCCCTTTTATTGTATTAATTATTTTGACGGTATGTTACCATAAAGCTCGTTTATAGTGACTACAGCTACTATTGCGGTATATAAATATACAGTCCCATGTGTTGTGTTGATGGTTTGGTCAAGTTTAGTCGGCGCCATTTCTGTATAACGCTCGATGTACAAGGTTGTATGGTTACCCGGATGTGATAAATACTGCATTTTAAACGGGATATAGTAGGTGTTTGTTTGCAAGCATGCGTTGATATATTACTTAGGTTATCTGGTATACTGCTGTGTCATTTTTGTACTAGACGTACATGTACACGCAGGCGTAGATTTAAAGCAGTCATCTTTGCGCCGACAAATCATAAGGCCTTGTTTCTTATTTCAAATTCCATAAACACACACGGAACATGTCATTCCTGTGCTATACTGGGAGCTGCAACAGGACTTTTGAGAAGTTTTCAACCTTCAAATCACACATATTTTGATCGCATTTTAACCATGACCAATCTCATTTGGATATTCAGAGCACGACCGTTTGTACATTTAGTTGTGTAAATAATCCCCAATTCCGAAAAATGTGTTGGTGTATTATCACAATCTTATATAAAAACTCCGGTGTTCGATCCCCGGCTGCGTCATACCAAAAGACGTTAAAATATGGTACTTGTTGTTACCCTGTCTTGCGCTCGGCATAAAGGGGCTAAAACAAGGGCTGGTCGGCTCGGAGTCAGTATACTGTGTCTGAGTGGGGTATTCATGTTAAACTGCGGCATGGTCTCTCGTTGAGCTAGCACTATAAATCGGCATTAGTCCGGACTAGTACAAGCAGCCACACACACACACGTGCATGCCCGTCGCTATATAAGTGCAATAATCTTGGACGCGGTTGTTAAACCCAATTTCACTTGACCTAAATAAAACAATTGTAAACCACCTACATGTATACTTGTTATGTACCTGCGGTAAAAATCCTGGCAGCTGGTTGCCAGTAAATGTACCGTACATAAAATGTTCCGATCGTAGACCGGGGTATACCGTAGGTACTGTATGAACGTTTTCATGTACGGTACTCTTACTGGTAAACATCCACCAGGACTTCCACCGTAAAAAAATACGTGAGTAAATTATATATAAACCAAGCAATTTACACTATCATCAGTTATCAACACTGAAGAGGAAACACCAGCCTCGACATCATCGTCAACAGCTGCTACAGTTGCATCGTCCACGACATCGTCCACGACAGAAGACGTGACGACATCTACAACAGGTTCCTCCGGTGGTGTGGGGGATTTGGCAGTCACGGCAGGTATGTAAAGGGATACGTTTGAGGGAGCTTATAAACGTACGTTTTTATTGACAATAGGTGTTGATCTTTAGATCAATGCGGGCCTATAAGACACATGTTGATTGTAAATAATAGGATGACGTACGTCACTGTCGATTCACCAGTGAAATATTTGTCCAAACTGCCGCTTCACACACTCGTATGTTCCTGGCTGTGACTATAGATTGTGCTGTTCATAAGAGAACTGCTGTATCCATCCGTTACCTCAGTGTCTACGAGAATGTCACGCGATACGCGTAATACAGTCGGTACATGCCGGCGATATCAAGCAGGCACCTTACCTACAGCAAACTTGCTCAGAATCTTATATTGCTGTCCTATAGTCACTGCAGCATACATACAGGCTTACACCATTGACATCCTGATTCATCGGGGATTCAAGGTACATTTGAATAAAAGAATGAAATAATAAACTTTATAATAATATGAACTAACGATTGAAGAGAGATTAAACATGCGCCAATTGGCAGTTTTAGTAATGTTGAATGTATATCACTCAGAGCCCACTTTGTCTAACATAGGAAATGGCGGCATGTGTATCATTCTTGCAGTTCACCGAATATCATAATCACAAAGGGCTATTGACTCACATGCACGGATGGATTTATCCAGATAATTTGAAATAACTGTATTCATCGACACCACAGAAACGGGGAAGTGTGAGAGTGAGCTGGGTTTAACGCCACTTTGAATTATCGCAGTTACATCACAGCGTGTCAGCTCGAAGTGGGAGGAAAGGAATTCTTAGACGTTCACCACTTTGGTGAAATCCACGAGCACGGGTATGGTGCTGACAAACCTAGAAACATAGCCTGATCAATTCATTGTGCTTGTATACACTGTCTCCACAGAATGTCCGCCTTTCGTTTGACAGATAATGATGATGATGATGATCAGACCTCCTTCATCTCTGCCATAGCTGGAACAATCGTAGCTGCTATTGTCATCATCGCACTCATCGTCATCGTCATGCGAACTACTTCAAGAAGAAAGGGTGACTTGCGTGAAGGTGAGTGAGTGAGTGAGTGAGTGTCTTGGGGTTAACGCCGCTTTGAACATTATTCCAGTTAACATAATATCCTTTCCTCAAAACCAAACCAAAGCAAGCAAACCCACACAGCTCGTAATATGTCGTATACACGGCCTGGGCTAATGAACCTCATATTTATATCTTATCACGTCTGGCTTGTTTCCCGCACCAAGCTGACACGCCGTGATGTAACTGTTACACATGATGTGGGAGAATATCTCCCCAAGTAATGCTTGTCCTAAATGTTGACCACTTTACCGAAACCCGCAAGCTCGGATTGTGCTGACAAAGCTAGTGACATTATTTGGGTGAATATGGGATTCTATCCCACGATCATACAATTAGGTTATAATTGTTTTCCACTCAGAGAGACCTGTTCTTTATAGATTAACCCACGAGGTACGAGTGATTACGGAAAATATGTCACGAGTGAAATTAATGTTTTAAGTTCCGAGCTTTAGCGAGGAACTTAAAACATTAATTTCACGAGTGACATATTTTCCGTAATCACTCGTACCGAGTGGGTTATTCTATTTATTACCCATATTCATATTAAAGACATGTTTCAAGAAAAAACAAAAACAACTGTCGCCGATCAAGAATCAGCTGTTTTGTATCAATCCGCGTATGAAAAAACACTGTCCACTCATTCCAACCGCATTACTCAATTAAAGTGTTGTTACGCGTGAAGAATATAGTTCTGTTAAACAATTGTAAAGAACACATTATTGCAGTTATATTTCTGTCCGATATACTCAGCGTACACTATCTAGCATTGATAGAGAAGACAGGTTTCCAAAAAAGGTTCATCAGGTTTTTTAATCAGAGCTTGTTTTGACAAGATCTCGTCACTGACGTTACAGCCCCCGTCGTGCATCGGCAGAAACATGCATTTCACATTGAGAAGAGGAAACACGGAAAACCTGTCATTTTTTTAATGTGTCATTTGACAAAAATGCCAAAACCTATAACAACAACATAGACGGAATGTACAGAAGTCCTGTTTGTTAGAGAAAAGTTGCGAAAAGAAGGTAAACTTTGAAAAGTACGATTGCTGTCACAGTGTCGGAATGAATGACCCGACTTGACCCAGATGAGACAACCAAAACCAGGAATGACATGAGAACCGGCGTTACAGTTTAATCCGGAAAACAAGTTTAATGAACATCGTGTGTGATTTGAGTCAAGTGTCACTGATGGGAAACATATGCATGTGGGATTTCAGGAGGATTTGTCAAACGTGGAGTGGACACAGTCAGATGATGGGAGTTTGTTGATATTTTGATGTGATTCATAATGGTCGAATACCTGTTGATAGACAAACACGGTATCTGGAGACTTGGTGCTAAGCTGTCCGCATTCACGGAGTTCATTTAGTTCAATATCGGACACAGGATCAGCTCGCTGGGGTAAGTTTTCTTTTCCTTGTATTTTTAATTATTTTTGCTTTGATTTCAAAACCTGTCTGAGTTCAGCAAAGTGCATCGATTTCGCAACCAGATGCTGGTAATCACGTCGCTAAGGTAACACTCTATGCTACCCTTGATCTCCTTCAAAGTAGACAGTTCGAATTCTGAACTGTCTGATGTGCATGCCGAAATGATAAATTTGCAAATAATAATGTTTAGTTGAACCTTTCCTGTATCATTAACCCTCATAGTCATATGGTCCCCGGACGTCAGTCAGCCTGCATACCGCTCAGCGCCGTACTGTGCAGACGTCGCGGTGACAAAAAACGTATACATTGTATAAAAAGTGTCACGTTCTTATTTCTTCACACAACGTTACAAAATTGTACGAAATAGTGTATCTTTATGATGTCTTTCGGAAAGTCTAACTGTTGTTGCAAAATGAATTTGTTTTTATGCTCATGCCATCGTTGAAAGTGTTAGTAGTCATATTTTTCGTGTTTTTCTTACCTGTATACATTTGTGAACAAAGTTCATGTCAACTTGTCAAGTTTAGTCTTTTTCATTGTGTTTTCATTTTCATTGGCAGTTATCGATGTCATCATCGTTCACAAAGGCAAACCTGTCTATACAAAGTCCGGTTTTTGGATTCGGGTGTTCGAAAAATTCATCAAACAGCAAGCCCTCTAGGCCTAACACAGACGCAAACCAGGACTTGGTGGTGATGATCTTGGCGCCCTAGAAACAGTTTCTGGCAACATCACAATCTGAATCTTGGAACTTCAATCTGGCCATATGCAGTTTTGACAACAAAGACATTAAATGTGTTCAGAGGTTGAATTATACGAATAACTTTTCATGTCAGTCAGATCTCCGTCCGCTTAGCGAGGTCATTTACTTTGACAGGTCTCAAATGGCCAGCCATGTTTGTTTACAAACGGGGACGTAGTTTTGGTTTTTACTGTAAAATGAAAATCATGTGAAATAAATGAAAAAAGTGATAATGTGAAATCATGTTGTTAATATGAAACTATGTGTCTTGTCTTAAAAATCTCGAATCAGTGAGATTGTAGCACGTAAAACATCTGAAGGGAAAGGCGTGGATTTGTGAATGAATGGGATGAGAAAAAAATAGTTCCGTTGTCCAATTAAATTGATCTTTGTTTTACTGACCAATCAGCTTCAAGAATCACTAATTGCACACTGTGCAAATATCAAAAAGTTATTACACTGAATATTTGAGCCCATATGGGTAATAAACATATATAACTCACAACTGCGTCATTAGCACCATGACGTCACAGTAAACATTAAACATTAGTCTCAATATTGGCATGTAAGCATATCAGCATGTCATGGATTTGGTCGTGTTTCTTTCAGAAAATGAAACGGTCATGAACAGCATCCTCTCTTTGAAAACATACTAATTTCTCCTTATTAATGATTAAAAACATTCTGTTCCGGGTTTTTTCAATTTATGACGTGTATGCATTTTATTTTAATAGGGGCGGTCGGGTAGCCTAGTGGGTAAAGCGTTTGCTCGTCACGCCAAAGGCCCGGGTTCGAATCCCGACATGGGTACAATATGTGAAGCCCATTTCTGGTGTCCCCCGCCGTGATATTGCTGGAATGTTGCTAAAAGCGGCGTAAAACCATACTCACTCACTCTGCATAATTCGTTATTCCTTGTAGCTTGTATATTTTCAGTATATATATATATATATAGAGAGAGAGAGAGAGACACACAGAGAGAGAGAGAGAGACACAGAGAGAGTGTATAATATACATGTAGGACAGAAAACGTCCACAGTAGTGCCACCCATTAAGCCGGCTGTGATGTAGACTGACTGCTGAAAGTACAAAGTGTAACTTAATCGTGCCCTGGGATCATTTTATCAATGACTGGTTTGTCTGGTCACATCTGTCGCAGGGTTATCAGAAACTGATTTGTTTTTAGGTATCTAATACCAAATCGTTGACATGTTGAAATCTTAACAACCGCCAAACTAAAATATTTAATATATATATTATGATCTTAAAAACACAATAAAAATATTTGTTCTCTGTATCCTCACTTCGGTTGGAGATGATGAACAAGTTCCCAATGTGGAGTGGCCTGACATTATTAATGTCAAATGATATTTCATTTGCTAAAAAAAACTTTCAAAAGTCGTGGATTTAAATTTGTTTCTCTACATCCAGGTACTGACATCCTGTCGGAGAGCTTTGATCATCAAGTAAATGTTGGGTCCAAGCACGAGGGCGCTGATGTGTGAGTTTTAGGTGTCAAACAGGCTGTATTGTATTACAGATAAATGTTTGCCTGAACGGTTCGCATTCAATTTGGAAGTGTGACTAACCTATTTCAGGTTACGTGATTTCAACGCCATATGGTTTGCTATTTTCTTAAATGTGTCCTTTTTAGTGATACCTTTTGTATCACGCTACATGCGAGACACGAAAGTAACTGTCAATATTAGCATACAGAGTCTTGGCGAGAACGTTTATTGTACAATAAAGGCGTTGCCGAACATCGAGTAAATAGTCTCATTGTTCACGAATAGGAACTGTAACGACAGCCTGCACAATATAAATATGTGTACTGTCAACGAAATCAACGAAAGGGATCATCGTGTTTTCTTGTGCTATTCAGAAATCCTGTTTTCGATGATGGAAATATTGCGGAGGACCCTAGTTCAGGTATGGTATTGCCGCATGTTGGGATGTTGAGATAGACATTAACAACATCACTGAAATCTGATCTTCTACTCTGCTTCAATACTTCTCTGTGTGAAGAGGTACATGTATTGTAGCGGAATACAGGAGCTGATCTTAATGTACTTGGGGCAATGTGATACATGAGGACATATTATGTCCAACTGTGAATTTTATTGTGTCACTTACCTGGTATATATGATCCTAGTGTATTTAACAAATAATTCCTCTTGACGAGGTCGGCAGACGAAAACAAGGACCCGAGGACCTAACCCATGAGGTGGTCTGACCTGACCGATGTCCTATGAGACCACCAAAGGGGTCGGATCCGAGGGTATATCTTTACCTCGTCAATAATGATCATTCGTTTTGTTACACCGAAATTCATGATCACTTTAAAGGTTTCGAAGTCTTTAAACCGTCCTCTGTTTTATAACAGTAACTTAGCTGCGAAGCGTGAAATGTTCGTTCCAGACGCCATCTTGCTTTCTTGCAGATGAGTCAATATTCATCACGTGACAGGTCAATACTGATCATGTGACGAGTCAATATTCGAGGTCAGTGTCAGTCACATGATTTCGGGGTCTACATTTAAATGTATTGCTTCGCCACGTGACACGGATTAACCAATGGACTTAGATGATTCTTAATAGAAGTATAGCAAAAGACAAATAATGCTAATTTCTCTGTCCATCCCCAGTGATGCAGGAAAACATCCTGTACTTCCGGTCCTCTGACGTCATATCCCTCAGACCCGCACAGCCAGGCTCCCCCAACAACACAGGTACGGCTTTTATATGTACTTGCAAGTTATACTTCTGCCATATTTTAAATCTACTTTTTCCATTTATGTGAACATTAAAGGTAGGATCAGGATGTTTATGTAGTTTTTCACGCAAAGTCTTAACATCAGTATCAATGAACAAAAGTTGAGTCATATTCAGATCATCAAGCGTAACTTCTTTGTCTGAAACATATTTGTTCATGTTTACAAAAAGGAAATTAATTTCATAACCATTTTCATAGAATTATGTTATCCATGAAGATCCGGGGTAGAATAGGTCTTCAGCAACCCATGTCTGCCGTGAAAGGCGACTATGCTTGTCGTAAGAGGCGACAAACGGGATCGGGTGGTCAGGCTCGCTGAATTGGTTGATGCATATCATCAATCCCAATTACGTGGATCGATGCTCATGAAATTAATCACTGGATTGTCTGGTCCACACTCGATTATTTACAGACCGCCGTCATATAGCTGGAATATTGCTCAGTGCGGCGTTAAACAAACAAACAGACAAACAGTTGTGACGTAGCTGATTAAACGCGACATTGATATCTCACCACCCTGACATATCTGCTATCTGTGACAAGTTGGAGGCAGTCAGGATAAGTTGGAAGGAAACTATAAAAGGGCCAATGTTCGACCTGTGGCCAACCGACAGTTACGTACATCAGAACCAAATTCCATTACACTAATGTTGGAATGGATATGGTTTTGTTTGTAATACCTGAACTGAAGTCAATCAATCATGGAACTATACATATTCCCAAAACAGTTATCACTGTGTTGTGATCTCATCTGTGTGTAGACGAATATGTCAACTTATTCAGTGAAAGTCAGCAGCAAGCATGGTTATGAAGGGCAAACAGCATTATCATTACTCGTTGGAGGAGCTAGCTGTCTGATCGGTCAGTATCCGCATTGTTAAAACCCATACCATCGGCTGGCATGTACGACTGTCATGACGTTATACTGTGCCATCACACTTAACCAAGATCGTCTAAGTCAATTTAGCATACGATGGAGGTCACAAGATATATCTAGTTCTCGCACACAAATAATGGTTTGTAACGTCAACATGATAGATTCATTATATGTGTGACCCGCGGTCTCGATATACACAAGCCCATTCAGCTCATGAAGACTGAGTGATTGAGTATGGCTTTACGCCGCTTTTAGGATATTCCAGCAATATCGCGGCGGGGAACCCAGAAATGGGCTTGATCGTGACGACGTATACTTGTACTTTATTATTAGTTTCATTTACATTCCACCACAGGTTTCTTTGTTCCCCATCCAGTGGATCGGTTGTAATTCCAATTGTCATTCTCAACTCCATGGAGGGTATACAAGAGAAGCTGCCTATGGGCACCTCACATATCGGGTACCCATTCCCTGCTGAGTGAACAGAGGCACATTGGAACTAAGTCCCTTGGCCAGGGTGACAACAACACGTTTCGACTCTTGTGTTTCGGTTTATGAACGTATTCGTGTTTCTACCTCACTTTTGAGTTCACAGGGTGTATGTACTGTACACTAGGGGTAGTGGCAACACTGTAAGGACCTGTAAACATTGTTGTTGTCTAATAACAACCCGGTCATTAGCGGGGTACGACATCAGCACCTGGCGCTTGCTAGCCTGGCGCTTTTGTCCGCTTTCCCACTCTGCTGATTTCTCTTCTCATATGATTGTTTTTATGTCATATTTCCAGAATTATATGCGCAAATATACAAACCCATGAGCGCCTCTGGGCAACGTGTGTCGACCAGTGATGTGTTCGTGGAGGCCATATACGCTAGCCCTTTGAAGATACCTCGAGTTCAACACCTGTCATGAGTTTGGCTGAAAGACACTCGGAGATGTTCCAGGAAGGAAACTTGAATTCATCTATTCCATAAATGATGGAGATTTAATTGAAAGTGTTCTGAGGATATATTTGTGTTTCGTGATCAGACAAACTTCTATCAAGATACAGACACAATTACGGCGGTGCATACCTGTCACTGGTGAGATCATTTTTCACTGTATGCCTCTATATTTTATCTCACCAGTGGAAGTATTTGGCGGCCGCCAGATAAAATATAGAGGTATACAGGGAAAAATGATATCGCCATCTGGCGGCCGCCATATAAAATATAGAGGCATACAGTGAAAAATGATCTCACCAGTGGCGGGTATGGGCCACCGTACAAAATGTCTAAAATGTGTTTTATGTACTTGCTCAAACGCCTATATCTATATATTCAGTCTAGACAAGTATGGAAAGCGTGAACATTTGCTCAGATTTACGTACATGTACATTGTCAGCATTTATTCCGATAGTGATTGTTTTGGTGTCATTTAATAAGCATCGTTTGTACATGTAAATGTAACTTTAAACATGAATGCACGTGGGGACATATAATGTTTATGTTTAATATGACAAGGTAAAGTCTTCCTAGACGCATTGTCAATATTTAATGTAAGTAATGTATTCCAATTGGGTAAACAATCACATGTCGTGTTTTTAATTATTCAATTTCTAAGTAGAACGGTGACTTAATGGCATAAACCCTGCTGTGATATTGATGAAATAGTGGTAAGGGCGACGTAAAAAATCACCCACTCACTCAAGCCTTCATTAACTGGCTGTGAAGGTATCACTGTTATAAGGGAGGGAACTCGTGAATGATTGTCATATATTTGATGCGCACTTAAAATATACTTTCTCCTGTTCTTGGTACTCACGGTTGGAGATTCCAATACTTGCATTCAAAATATCTTTGATGATTAAATTTTCAGTCGTGATTGTGAAAATGTGTTTAATTCCATGCATTCAGCTTTGCAGGTTCGCTGCTGCCTTTGCATAGAGGACACGTGCGCGATAATATTACCGGTGACAGAGCCATTCAACTCCGAACGATTTTGACCTCATATTTATCGACCTCATGTTTATGGAGCAACAATGCAACCTTGTCGTGTCTCAGTAGCTGTTCATAAACATGTCACCAGACAAGCAGCACTAAACGTGTGTGCACAATCTGAACACCAACTTACTGCATACCCAGTATTTTTTATAGAAGCAAGGTGTGTGGGTCTTGTCACATGACTGATGGCTATTTGATCACGTGGTGCACATCACTGTCCCGATGAATATTTGCTGTTTAACGCCGCACTCAGCTGAATTCCATCTTGATGACGGCAGTAAGTAAATAATCGAGTCTGGACCAGACATCCCAATGATTGACATCATGGACCTCGATGCACGCAACTGGTCAACAATGACTTGCATTAAGTCAGCAAGCCTGACCACCCTCAGTCTTACGACAAGCATAGTCTACATTAACGGCAAGAATTGGTAGCTGAAGACCTTCTATAGTATTCTAACCCGTAGTGGGGCACGGCTGGCCCAGTCGTCCAAGGCGCCGTGATTCGCTGTGCAGAGTTGCGTCCCGTTGGCACGCTAGAAACCTTTGATTGTGGGTTCGAATCTCGGTTCGCCTAGATCATGTTTCTAGGTTTGTCAGCACCATACCCGTGCTCGTGGGTTTCACCGAAGTGGTAAACGTTTGAGACCTGCATCACTTCGGGCTTTCTTCCCACATAACTTGAATACTGTTAAAAACGGCGTTAAACCCAACTCACTCACTCACTCTAACCCGGATCTTCACGGGTCAATGGCAGAACCCGCTTCCCTGTGCTCATCCCTGTGTACAGTAACAGTGTGACCCCCTGTTTGTGGAGATGTCATATGCACGTCACCTGTTGTGAGATACTCATTGATATGATGCATGGAATACCGCCAATGATACCAGTTTCAAATACATCAACATCGAATGACAATTTCTTGCTTGTTTCATTTTCAGGCACCATGAAACATGGATGTACACTCTTCTGTTTTGCCCGGAGTTTAGAATCACGCACTGCAACTACACTCTGCAAACCCAACCAAAGTCTTCATACTTGATTTGTGTTTAGTTAATCCTGTGTACATGTAATCATAGATGTGTATCCATGTCCGCCCAGGCATTGAAACCTTACTTGATTGTAACGAAACGTTGTGATATGAAGAACTTGATCATGAACCAAATGGTAAATTCTATCTTCCAAGGTACTGCAGCTTCTAAAATGCCACTTAAAGATAATATTCTTCTTCATCATTATCATTGGCAACCAACGTTTATAAGATGTCTATACGTTGACACCGATATGTTATACTACTCATGATCACGTTGATACCAGGTTTGTTTGTTTGTTGTTCCGCACGCAATATACCAGCTATATGACGGCGGCCTGTAAATAATCGAGTCTGGACCAGACAATCCAGTGTTTGACATCATGAGCATCGATCCCCGCAATTGGGATACGATGAGATGCCTCTTACGACAAGCATAGATAAAGGAAAAAATAGAGCTATTTGCTGCGTTGAAACCATTTCACTCACTCACTGACACACTTATTGATGCTGAGCTGTTTCACGCTTAAGTGCATTGATATAAGGGAGGTAACTCGTGCATATGATCGTCATATATTGATGCACACATGAAATATGCTTTTCACCCGTCTAATATCTGCATATTTAATCATCAGTCGTTTTCATTAATTATTCAGATATGTACATGTAGGTTCGATGTCTTGGTATGCAAAGCTTAAATTCTTCAATGTGGTTTCAAGACTGAAAAGAATACCTTGATAGTATTCGAAAATTAAGAGCGCGAAATTATACATGGTTACATGGTAAAATGTCATAACAACTCACACACATGTGTGTTACAGAGAATATCCCCATGTTTTACTGGTAATCGTCAGTGTTTTAAAGGCCGTTCCTTGAGAAAGCTTTGGAGCACTGTAATATAGTGTGCACCTCACATTAAGCGAAAATGCAAATGATTACTTAACGTGCACCGTGATTGACAGATGTTTATTCAATGACGAGTTGACAGTATAAACTTACATCTATAAATCAATCAAATAACAAATATATTATTCAAAATAATATATGTGAACATATTTGTATTATCACTTGCTCGCTGGGTTATCCACTTTATTTATAAATATTATTGATATTCCCACTGATGCCACATCCTCCATATTTCAGGTTTGCTTGGTGTGTGATACATCGAAGTTTATTGTCTCCCAGAACCAAGTGAAAATATTCAAGTCCCACTCAAGCCCTTGAATGATTAATTTTGGCAAGTCTAGATAAGGATTGCTCTAGACTCAATTTTAATTTATTATTTTTGTTGTGTAGATATGTATTTTATAATAAGATAACTTTATTTCTGGGACTAAATGTAAGTCTACGACGTTTGAGGCGGGCGGTCTAGAGGAAGTAACTCTACACAACACGAGGGATATACACTAAGTCTTACTGCCCGAGCCAAAACGATTTGTTTTTCGAATCATCCCTATTTACTCAGCTCACCTGTAGGCCTGTCAACACATTCAGAAACAGGTTGAACAAGATTGTGTTTCCCAGACAAGGAAGGGATATTCAGCAGGGAACGGCTGTCTAAATATACATCACTTTCAATAACAGGCTAATGTTACACACATACCGCGGTAACATATACTGCCTGTCTGTAGGCTATGCATTGTTACGGGAGTCTACCAAAGAACGCTTTGTTGTGTTCACTGATAGTCATGCAATACAAGCTGTTCTTGTACAGGTCTGAGTTGAGGAAAACTTACATGTTTATCAGGCACACATACATGTCGCTTAAAGAAATGAATGCTCGGGTGATCACGAGTGTCAAGCTTTTGTTGCACAACATGGCAATGTACAAGTCAGACGAGTACAAAACCCTTTCATATCTCTTGTGTATGGTCGTTAACTCACATGGATGTCACTTTATAGTGATAGTCACATGTGGTGGGGGAAAAGTGACAATACATTAAACACGGGGATACTAGTTTCTTGTTTTGAAAGACATTATTTAGTCAAAGTAAAGTTTCATGCATATGCATTTCAGTTTATAGAATAAACAGAACTCATGATCAGCTGATTGTAGGGCGGCGTGTCGAATTTTACCTCACTTTTAACTACATAAGTGATCTAAATAAAATTAATGTAATTTTATAATCTATTTTGTTTCGTCAGAAATTATATACGTAAAAAAAGTTGGTTGATCATTTACGGATAACAAAAACGTCAGCTTTAGGAAAGGAAATACATGTTACATTTAATCTCTTTTGTCACTCACAGGCCATGCCGTTGGTAGTGTTCAGTTTATAGCCTATGTTTTTGACATTACATATCATAAATTATGGACCTTCTCAAATATCAAACATTTGTTTTTTCGTAATAACTCTTAAGACGTTAACCTCGCCTGTGTTACGAGTGGCGATGCGATTGATGATTTCATGGAGTAAAAACTACATTACTGAAACTAATAAACGGGTCATGATGTGTTGCTTGCGGACATAATAACTGTGTATGGATACCAAAAATATTGTGACATCATTTTCACAGATAAAATAGCTTTGTCACTGTTAAAGTGATGTTATCATTGATAATTCTTGTTTTGACATACTGACAATACAGGTGGAATTTACAATATGGGCATGTTCATATTATTAACTGATATTATACAAATTAAACAAATTTATACAAAAGCCCTGAAATATCAACGAGGGCATAGATACCAAACTGGCGTTAGATACCCCGTTTAGTTGTGCAGATTTGCGTCCCTTAGGTGCCCGAGTGCCGCCCTGAGAACGACTCTTAGTTTCTTAGCACCATAGCTATGCTCCTGGGTTTCACTAACTCACTCCTTCCGTCACTAATTCACAAGGACGTACATGATAGTCTTTTTATCATTTCACAGAAAAGAAATTTCCTGAATAAATATGGAAAATAGCCAGTTTGAATCTGCATTACATGTAAAATCATAAATCCTAAAAATGTAAAAACGCACAAAGCCTGTTCGTGATTGTATCCTCCATAACAAGTTTAGCAACAAGTGATGAGTTACAAGTTGGAGCAGGGGATCTCGGAGTAGCTATTGTATATGTGGAGCCTGTGACACTTTGATACACACAATCAACGTTTATAATGAAAACACTGTACCAATCATACTGCTGAAGAGAGTATAAAACTATTTAACTAGGATGTGTCACCGAAAATCTACAAGGCACATATACAGAACATCTCCTTTTTCAGAATTCTGACATTACCTATGTCAGTCCATTTCGCATCATCAAAGAATTCCCCTTTTCCAGCCTCTCTGAAACAAAACAAAAAAGTGTCACTTGCCACACAGTATCCTTATTCATCATCTGGATAAATATTAACAATCTGAAGTCACATACTTATCGCTGTATATACGATGGCCATGTGGGGACACGGTGTCATTTGCTTATTTTATCAATACCATTTCTTGATAATTCCGCAGATTTACTTACATTAGTCTTCCTGCTTCTTCCGGGTCTTAGTTTTGTCAGGTTTGGCGTATAGATCCTCAATGTTGATGTCATCAGCTGTACCTGTAGGTCCCGGCTTATTTGTCTTGGGTTTCTGCACTTGGGCGTAAACATCTGATAGAAAATTATACTTTATTTATACTTTAAATAAAGGAACAACAGTCACGTAGTTATTGTGACCTTTACTTTAATCTATTACTTTGATCTAGAACTGCTAGTCTCCAGTCCCATGCTGCGGGAACAGGAACATGTCAGTACAACACTAACAGTAACATCACACATTCAGGACTTTGGCAATTACACGGTCGAGCAATTAAATTCAAGTCAAATTAAAGGGTATCTCAACATAATACATAGACTACGTTTTAACATCTGACTTGAAGTCTACATAAGGCCTCAAGCAGTATTCAGAAGATATGATACATGGCCACCCTTCTGTATATTTCAAGCTGGTTTGACTGACTGATATACACAAATCGATTGCCGGGCGTGCCCACCTTCCATCGTATGTGCGAAACAGGGATTTAAAATCATGGAAAACGTGATTATCAATGATTACATAAAGTTGAATTGACAATGTTCATAAGCTGTTGTGGTTCTTTATGTGACTATAGTGCAATATATTCTACCCGCATGGACCTTCCTACCAATGTAGAAACATGACTGCAACAACCGTGCAGCATCGGTAACGGAAGAATAGAGGGGATCCTGTTTTGAATTATTATTTTGCTGTAATTTAGGTTGTGTTAAGGCTGACGTTTTTTATTTCAAATGTACAAATTCTATTGAAAGTGCAGGTGTATTTTTTCTAAACGATATCAATGGATCGCAAGCTGGTAAGATGGTATACAGTGATAGCGAAATTCCTAACCTGTTGTCATGTGATCATTTTTTGAAGGCTGGTTGGGTGAAGTGACGTCACGTGAAGTCTCATAAATATCATTTTCCACTGTAATAAATAATACAAAATGTTGAACGTGGATATACACGTCCATTGTATAGCAACAACAACAACAACAACAACAACAACAACAAAACAAAATGTACATTTGTATATCGCCAATTTCACGTGAAAGCCTGCTCATTTACTCGTGTCAATGGACAAGTCAATATTCAATTTGTATTTAAGGTTCCTGGAAAATATACAACCAACCCTGCCCGAAGGCGCTCGGAGATTTCACATTCATGTATCCATCTCATCCTACTGGGTATCCAGTTGTTGCTGTAAAACATGGGCCAATTTCGGAAAGGTTTGCTCACGAAGACACCTGTGTATGACAGTGTGTGACAGGACCAGCTGTCATGTTTGGTGAGCGGAAGTACGCAGACATCCAATCTCCACCACTCCAACGTAGCCTGATTTGTGACCTGTGCGCTAATACATGAGACGACACACATCCATAAACATACTATTATTAAAGCAGCACACAATCCAATGATCTTACCTTGAACTTTGTCGTTAATGTCTTGGTCTTGTGAGACGAGGTTTCTGAAACAAATACATTTAGAGATACCATTTATCTAAAAGAAGAATGAAACCGGACAATCTACTGTCATTCATTACGAATTACACTTTTTATTAATATATGTACATTTTGATAAAATAAATTTGTGTCTTGCAAATTATGAAATCTCACTTCGACGTAACAAACGACAAAACCCTTATAATTAAACGTTTCCATACTCGATTCCCACTATGTCATATGCACATGCTTTTGAATCGGCATGAACGCATTTTATACAAGAGTTTACTTACTCATTGTAGTAGGTATGTGATGCCTCGTGCTTGTGTTCATGTGCACTGCCTGTAAAATAGGAAAGTTGTGTTGGTTGTAGCTTGGCTTTAGTAAGAACATTTCCATTGAAGATTAACTCGAACAATTATAGTTTGTTGTAATCACATCCAATCTGTTTATTATACACCCATCCATATTGCTCTGACGCAAACTGCAAGTCGTAACATAAGACCGAGATGTTGAAAAGTTTAATGATTTCTTTACCGTTATTCACAGGACGTCCTCTCCTTCTTCTTATACACAGAACACTGACGACGACAACAATGACGACTGCAACACCTCCTCCAACACCAGCAGCGATGTAAGCAACTTGACTACCTGCATATGTACGACCCGAATATGCCTCATGTTATAAAAACATGGTGAAAAACGAATAACGCTCCTGGTTTTGTAAATGTTAAGGTTCTTCCTCTGGATAGAGCTTGTAGATCCTAGTTTTATGGTTGGTATCTCAGTGGCCTAGCACTTTAAAATCGGCATAAGTCAGTACAAGTAGACCCGTGGAAGCCAGTTATGGATGAGCATTCTCTTGGTTGTATATTATGGACTAAAAGTGTATGGCAAAATATATAAGTATGATTAAATCATCTCACCCCTTCCTTGAGAAGACTTGCTTGAGGAGATGTCTGTAGTAGATGTAGTTGCTGTAGTAGTAGTAGTTGCTTCTGCAGTGGCTGTAGTTGCTACTGTCGTAGTTGTTGCCATAATGTTTACTACGCCTGAAAATTATTATAATTATCAATTCGTTACAAATTCTTGGTATTGATGGAGTTGGTAGAACGAATAGACTGGCGCATCCGGGCGTCCATAACTTCTAGTGTAAGCTTAGTGAATCAATGGTTATATATTTAATAATACTGTCTGAGTATCAATGCAATTTTAATTCACCTGTTCAATAAGTTAATATGTAGTTCGCGTTTAGGTTAGTATCAGTAAATAGGTATTTAGCTCTAAACTTGCTTAGGATAGTGTTTAAATCCTAAACAGAAAAAAATCAGCGTGTAAAGAAAGGGCAATGATCTCAGTACATAACCACATCGTCACCCAATTAATACGTTGAGAGGCCTAAACATGTTTCGAATTGTGTGAATCTCAAGCGTGAGATCATAACATGTACATGAAGAAAGTGGGGATTATACTAAACAGTGACATTTGATAGTTAATGTCTGGCCCGACCTGACAGGAAGGACTCAGTGTGTTTACATCAGATCTTCACGGAGAGTATTGGGTGAGTGAGAACGTCGTTTTATTTAAATCAGATAGAGCTATAAGGACATGTCATCATTGGAGCATGAAATCATGCAGCAGATAGAAAAGAAAGGTTGAAAAGGTGAGATGGAATTTTTAAGTATGAAGCTGAAACTGTTTTAGTGATCAATCCTGTCCTTTGATGATATTTTGACAATAACTTCAAATCTAAAGATATTGAAATACTAGATATGCTGTTAGTCTTACTGCAAGATGCAAACATGATTGGGTAGTCAGAGGCATCTACGTGAACAAATTTGGTTTTACTTGGACGCCAGTGACTTTGATGCTATATCCTAGTATAATACTTCCAACCGTTATTTGCTTTTTACGCTTTCGCATGTACAGCTGCTGAAATTCTTGAAAATATGGAAGAAGAAAGCAAATTATTAATCTAAAACTTCTGAATATGCTCTGGTTTACAGAAGTGAGTGAGTGAGTATGGTTTTACGCCGCTTTTAGCAATATTCCAGCAATATCACGGCGGGGAACACCAGAAATGGGCTTCACACATTGTACCCATGTTGGGAATCGAACCCGGGTCTTCGGCGTGACGAGCTAACGCTTTAACCACTAGGCTACCCGACCGCCCCCTGGTTTACTGACAGAAATGCTGGAATGTTGAGATTATATACATATTAAATAAAAATATACCCCTAAGAGGGTGTTTAGATTTCATTATGGGATCTAAATATGATTTTTTGCATGTGTATGTTAGGGGTGCCACCGTTAGGGCAGGATACGCTCACCTTTCGCCAACACCTGATATCATCACTATTTGATAGTGCGTCATAAACGCATGTTCATGAGTCGGAATCGTACAGTGGACACTGATTCGGGCAGATATTTGTTATAAATATGCCGAGGGTTTTGTTGCGTATTTACAGCGCGAGCTTCTTACCACGTCGATGTAGGTTCATTCAATTATAAACGTGCTCAGTAAACATTCATAATCATTCATAGTTTTGCGTGTGCGCTGACTATCTATGAGGTAATAACAACAGTCGTTTTCTACAGAGAGTAAAAGGAATGTAAACCATTTGTTTGGTTGTAGTTGCATTGACAATTAATTGAATTACATAAGTTGATGTTTCTCAAATGTTTATGGTGAACATTATAAATAATACAATAATGACCATTTGAACATTTCGATCTGGTAGAACAATGGTGTCAGATGTGAATCAAAACCTAGAATTCATCAGTAACACATCAAGCACCAGTATGTCGTTACCAAGTACTGCTGCAAGCTAGAGGTACTGCAGAGGTACTTCGATTTTCTGCATGTTAGAAGCATAATTATATTGTTTGTAGCGGCCAGGACATTTTCTCAGTTTTTTACTGTGCTCATCAATATTATACACTTATAATGACGAATAGTACAAATTATTATCAGTCATTCAATTTCCGCAAAGTTATGATCTAACATTTGCGACAGGAATGGTATTCCATTCGCTCGTGTTAAATGTTAACATTACACAATTATCGCAATAATTGACCAATTTGCTTTAATAGGTAACACTGTTTAATGGCTCAAACAAACCATAACATACTCACGTATTGTCCATCTGTTGCTCTCCTGACTACGCTGATCATCCCCACACTGCCACACAGATCCATTATCTATGGAAGTGAGGATCCTGAGAGTCACATTGTACTGGTTGTGACTACAGGTCACATTGATACGTCCTGACAGATGGTTGTACAGGTTATTGTTGGATACATCTACTGCACAGTGTGTGTCTGATACATAACGTGAACGAAAGATGATATCATTCCTCCTGTTCCATGCTCTACTCCTGCCACCACTGCCACTACACATCAAGGTGTACGGCTGGCCTGGCGATGCTGTTGCTGGGGAACTTGTTAGTTGTAGGGAGTTCGAACCTGTAGCAAATTCAAAACGTTATTCCAGGGTGACGTCAATTGTAAGAGTTCAGTGGACAAAGTGCTTGAGCAAATGACTGATACGTTGTGTATTTGACAGTCTCGATAAACATTGTGTGTTTTCAGATTTGCAAATTGTATTGAGTATGCGATGCACGGGAATGTTAACCAACGCAACCTCACTTTATTGATATACACTGCCCAGTTACATTAGACTGTAAACGGAAATGAAACATTTATTCATTTTGACTCATTATCCGAGATTATGTATGAGGGGGCACATTGCGGGCACATTCTAAAAAAATCATGAAACAAAATGTGAGAGCATAGCGATATTTTACAGCCGCACGCTCTTTCCGAGTCAAAGGAAGTGACGTGACATAGTGAAAGTTAACATCAATCGAACAACTGTTTTCTGTCAATTTTGAATTTGATTTATTTACGACGTAATATTAAAGTATGTCGGTGAGATGAATTCGTTGTAGCAGGATCACTCAGGGTACATGGCGTTTTATGTGTCCCTCGCTAGATTCTATGCCACTCGCATTCTAACGCGGAACGCATTGTTACTGCTACAAATTGTACTGAACGTTCCACACTCCTCGTGAGCAGCAACACTCAGCTCAGTAAGCCCTGGTGCTGACACACAAAGACATACAGCCAAGGCGAACTGGGATTTAAACTCACTTCCAGCCGATCCTCGCAAGTTACAACAAAACAACAGGGTAGATGTATTTCAGAATTACTGATACATCTGATAATAATTATCATTTTACTCTGAAATGAATTAAAATTTAAATATCTATAGGTATTTGTTCCGCAAAAAAACCTCGTTGAATAGAACAAATAATATCTCTGTTTACTACTTGTCGGTGTGAGTGAGCTGCACACACGTCAGGTTCTATATATCACGGAGCCTGACACTGTATGGGCGAGTGCCTTTGTCCCACATGGAGCGTGGTATGGAAAATACCTGTATATGATCAAACAGACTCATGGTTCGTATTACGATTTTGTTCTTCATTCCCATCGAAACTTAATGAGATTGACTGCATTTTTTTCTGTATCGAAATACAATACAACGCTTTATGTGTAGAATAAAGCACGTCCGAGGATTTTTATGATATTTAAAACCAACATCCGCGCGATAAAACCGAGGGGCGTCAGCAGAGGGGAAGTGTTTTTAACTTATAAACCACAAAATGAAACTTAAACAACACCTATCAACATGTAATGTTTCATACATATTTTCCATGAACCTTAGAAAAACGGGCACACAATACCTGTTGCTGGCGTATGGTATTATTGTGATTTATCAGCGCCTCTGTAGCCTAGTGGTACACTCACTGGCCTACAGATACTAAAGTGACGTGTTCCATCCTCGGGAATATAAGGAAAACATTTGTTATTTGATATAACATTTCATTACATAGTGTTTAAATGCAAATGGAAGCTGTATTAATAAAATCCATGGGATATTATTGCGTATTATGTAGCAAATATTCTTGGCATATGAAATACATTATGAGATTTACCCCGACTGGAGAACAATAAGATGACGTCACTGGAGGTTTATACAAAAAAAATAAACAACCTTCAAAGACAAGCTCCTACACATACCCAGTCACTATGTTAGTTAAATATGAATAAACGTGTTTCATTTTCATGAAACAAAGAAGAAAATATTGTCGCCTCAAAAGGAATAACAAAACATATGGTCAAGGTATATGACAAAATTAGAATAGTTATGTATGTTGCGTGTCTTCTCGGGAGAGGTGGGTGCACCAAAATGGCCTTCACCCCTTTTACCTACGTAGGGAATCAAACCAGTACCTTCGGCGTGACGAGTGAACTCCGTAACTACCAGGCTACCCAACTGCCCTGCAGGTGTAGATTGAGTGAGTGAGTTGGGGTCAACGCCAATTTGAACAGTGTTTCAGGTATGTCAATGTGTGTCAGCTTAATGTGGGAGGAAAGCCCGAAGTGATGCAGGTTTCAGACGTTTACCACTTTGGTGAAACCCACCAGTATTTGTATCGTGCTGACAAACCAATAAACATAATTGAACGGGGATTCGAACCCACGATCATAGGTGTCTGGCGTACGTACCTGACGCAACTTGGCAAGACGAAGTGCAGCGCCTCAGACATCTGTGCCACACGAGCCACGGACAGGTATAGATATATTACATATTCACGTACTGATTATGTTTTCAGATTTAGGGAGAAAGTTTACTGTGCAGTTGTTGTCATTTAGAAAGGATTACAATGCATGTTTCAAAAACTGAACGTCAGCGGCAAGTGTATATAGTTTGCTTTATCCAATAGTGGGAAGGCTCAGGAGAAAGAACGTATTCATTGTTGCAAGATTGATTGAGAAACAGTATTAGGATGAAAGTAACAAAAATATATGTAAATATGTCCTTGTTGGTGCTTAAATCTGAGGAATGTTATTGTTATTTGAAACACCCTATGGACAAATCATATTCGAACTTTCCTTGAAGTCATGGCAGATTGATTGTGATATTTCCAATTACAGATATATATCGATAAAACATGATAAACTTCAACTCACCCTTTATGTATGTCGTAAAACCGCACGCCATCAAAAACAAGGTTGCGAGTGGAACATCCATGTCAACACAGTCACGGGGAAACCGGTTATTTTGGATTCACAGCAGGTTCTGCCTAATTGACTTTGTCACGTCCCGATGACAAGTTTTACCTCCTCATGTCACTGATCTTCGTCACATAACTAAGCTTGTGAATATTATTGTACTCATTTACACACACAGTCAATGTATCTGTACTCCAGTCATAGGTATTCGACTCTCTGGCACGTGTAGGTTGTGTTCACTACGCCAGCACGTCTCGCTATTGAGCTGTAACACTAGGTGATAAGCGACGTCTCAATACAATACAATCAACTCACACACTAGGCCGTGTCGACAATGTAGCTACATTTGAATCACGAACCCGTGTTTGTAAGACAAGGAAGTAATATCTACAGTCCACACTCCACCACCCACTCGATAAACAGCCTAAATATAGTCTCTGCTCTAATAACCAAGTTACCATGACATTTCAAACAGGGTTGACTGATGTTTACGCGCAAGTACACGTATGTGGTGAGTGAGTGAGTAACCATTTCTGTGGTGAGATTATATTTGAATAAATGACAAGACATTAGAGGGTGCGAGAGTGAGAGGTAATGTATCAAAACTGATATTTATGTGAACTTTTTCAAACAGGAGACACGGGTGGATCTTGTCGTCTGAGGCGCCACAATTCTATGTGCGTCCCTTAGTAGTGCCAGAAGCAAAGATTCCCCACTGATTATGTTTCTAGGTTTGTCAACACAATACTCGTGCTCGAGGGTCTGAGCCGTGCAACATTTCCGGCTTTCCTCACTCTTTAACCTAACACGCCATGAAATTTAGTTCTTAGTGGCCGTAAACCGAACTGACTGACACTTAGAAAACAATACAGTCAATACCAGCAATTTAAATGATATCTGTACTTTTGACGGACATTTGCTGGAAGAATTAGATATGGTTGGTTTGTTGTTTTACGGCGCACTCAGCAATATTAAAGCTATATGACGGCGGTTTGTAAATAATAGAGTCTGGACCAGACAATCCTGTGATTGACATCATGAGCAATGATCTACGCAAATGGGATCGATGACATGCATCAACCTAGTCAGCGAGCCTGACCACCCGATCCCATTAGTCGCCTCTTACGACAGTCGCCTTTTTCGGCAACATGGGTTGCTGAAGACCTATTCCACCCTGGATCTTCACGGGGGGATGGATATAGGGGAGATAGTACACGACTTGGATATAGTGGGTATATTAGATGATCTCAATTTACCATACATCCGATATGCAAAGGAAGATTCATCTGTAATTGACGCATTGGCAATAATAAATCGCAAGGTAAGCCAAAATTTAAGGACAGAAGCGTAGTTGGATATGTCCATGCGTCAGCACAATGTTTGCTCATTTTGAAAGTGATGAATTTTCACCATTATATTCAGATGTAAATTGTCCTGTTAATATCATGCAAGGTAGACCTCAAAATCCTATAAAGGACGATGATATACAACAGGAACCTAGTGATACTAAATGTGTCACTCAACAACACTATAAACCTATACCATATGATGTTATAATTAACTTGACACAATCTTTCTGTTATGATATAGACAAAGATGAACTGAGTAAAATCCCGTATTTTATTGTGTGTGTGTGTGTGTGAATTGGGTTCCGCTTTTAAAATTATTCCAGTCATATCACGGCGTGCCAGCTTAATGTGGGATGAAAGCCTGAAGTGATGCAGGTCTCAGACGTTTACCACTTCGGAGAAACCCACGAGCACGGGTATGGTGCTGACAAACCTAGAAACATAATCGGGGCGAACTGGGATTCGAACCCACAATCATAGTTTTCTGGCGTGCCCAAGGAACGCAACTCTGCACAGCGAATCGCGGCGCCGTAGTCGACGGGGCCACTCTTGCCGAACGATGTGTTGCTATTAACAAATCAGCGTCACAAACCGTGGTTTGGCCCTGAATGTAAACACATTCCAAAATGCTATACAAAAGCTGGAAAACGTTTAAAAAAATGAGAGCGTAATAGATCTACCATTGAACATTTGTTTTAAAAGACATCAACGCGTCACAGCACGACGATAGAGACATAGTCGCACAGATATAGACTATAAACTTAGGAAGCTATTAATTTGATAACCCACATTCCTAAATGCTGAAATCACGTTAGAAGTCGAGAGACAGGCAGTAAAATCACTGAAGCGTAATAAAGCAATAGGTCTCGATTACGCAGAAAACAACTGTACTGATTCCTTCGATCAATTTGGATTACTTTATGCTGACCTGTTTAATTGAATACTTTCAACTTTTTCACTGCCAGAAGAATAGCTAATCGGAATTATTAGACCCATTTAGAAAAAAAAACGGTGATCATTTGGACCCAAACTCCAATCGCCCAATTACTATTATGAACTGCCAAGGAAAGCTCTTTACTAGTATTCAAAATAAAAGACTAAACGACTTCCAAAAGGTAAATGAAATATGATCCAAGCAGGATTCAGTAAGAATGTCTTAACACATGAGAACATCTTTGTTTTACATGCTCTTACCGATATCATAAACAAAAGGAAAACGCTTTACTGTGCTTTAATTGATTTCACTTGATTATATTACGTGTGAAGAGGAGGCAATTTGTTCAGACTGATACAGAATATGTATAACAATATTAAGGCATGTGTACTCGGTAATAACAAGGTAACATATTTTTCCCCGAGTAATTTGGAGAAAGAAAAGGGGAAAACTTGTCCCCACTTCTATTTTCAATCTTTCTACTTTGAAAGAAAACGGATGCGATGGAGTTAATCTAAAATGTCTTAATGATGACTGTTGGATATTATGCATGCTTTTTTTACTTCTTTTATATGCAGATGATACCGTCATGATTGGAGATAACCGTAATTCGCTCCAGAAATCGCTAGATGTTTTCCATGATTATAGTGCAGAATGGAAGCTACATGTCAATATCGCGGAGACAAAAAAAATATTGTGTTTGGCGGAGGGGAAGTCGGAATTGATAAAGTATCCTTCAAATGTGAAAATAAGGAACTGGAAAAAGTAGCCTCTTATGTATATCTTGGTACACAAGTTCATAAACATAGAACATTTGCACATGCGGTTAAGACCTTGGCAGAGAATGCGAGAAGAACCTCATTTTGCCTACTTCAAAAAACTAGAAACATAAACCTCCCTCTTGATTGTCTTAATAGAGCATTTGACGACATGATTACACCAATTCTATAATATGGTTCTGAGGTCTGGGGATTTGGCTACGCTGATATTATTGAAAACGTTCCTTTACAATTTCTCAAACTCGGCCACTGGTCTAAAATCCCCAACCTCAACTGCATGATATATGGTGAACTTGAAAGGGAACCCTTAATTATTTATATACAAAAGACACATTGCTTTAAAAGTCATTGAATTGTGATTACAATCGAAATAGTTTTGAAGGATATGTTTTATCAAATTTGGAGAAGCAATATAAAAAAACTAGTTTAAACGGAAAGCATTGCCAATATTTTGAAGCCCTACCTTCACTCAGTAAATACTTACTCTACCAAACTCTATATCATACCCAATTTGAAAATATCTTACCACAAATAATAGCCTCCCTATTGAGACAGGCCCCTGATGTGGTAATTCCACACCAAAGGCAGACGAATTTGCTTTCATTATTCGATACCAAGCTCTCAAAGAATACAGAAAACTATACAGCCAGAATAAATATTTAATTTTACCTGATATGATATGTTATCAACGTCTCTTCAATTCACAAAACGTAAAAGAAATTAAAAACTTAGCCAAATTCATAACTATTGCGTTCACAAAACTTAGAAAAAAATAAGTTCATCTCAATGTCTATCTTAATGACACTTGTGCATTATTTGGTTCGTGTTCTCTTTTATCACCAGTAGTGGTTGTATGGAGACATAAAAGTTTGAAAGTTTGACATAATCGATCAGGTAGTCAGGCTGGACAACTTGGTCGATTGCGACAGTGTGGGACGTTGCTCATACTATCATCAACTGGATTGTTTGGTCCAACATAATTTACTGACAGGACTCCGTAATATAACTGAATTGTTGCTGTTTGAATCGTAACATTCTCGAAATCCATCAGGAAGTTGACTAAAAGTCAATAACGTTGAGGTTTTGTTGGGTGAAGCCGGGAAATTAGATGATTGTATATATATAGTAACCTTGGAATGTGTATTTTCTTTCATACAGTTATATATTACAACATGCATTATTGCTAGACGCGTACACAGAATATGTCCGCTGAATATTCTAGTGTATATTTGTTCAGTGCAGTGTGCATACTACCTGACAAGCGGTTGTGTTTCATAGTTAGATAATACTTCAATACAACATTCTTCCTTGTCTGGCAAAGCGCCGAGTGAACAGTGTGTGACCTAAATGTGTACATGCTGTTTCATATTTTCTGAAACATAAAGGTCAACCATCACCCAGTGTACACTGTATCACTGACTAGGATAAACAGGGAGTTGTTCAGCAAGTATTTGTGGACTGAGAAATAGCTGCAATAGGAAGGGATGTTCAAGGAGTACGCCATTCTTCTATAACATCCAACAATCTAGGATTATAAGTAAAACCAAGATATAAATTGAAATTTCGTTGGAGCCGAGTCAATGGGTTCTCAGCTACTCCTTACCTTGTTCTTGGTGTGTGTTATAACAGGACAAACCAGAGGTGAGTAGATCGGAAACAGTTTGAGCTAATGGTGAGTGCATGTGCAAGGTAATCATTTAACTAAGGGAGGCAACTCGAAGATGTCTTGTTCAAAAACCCGCCACTAAAATCACACTAAGCATGGTACATAGGTTTATACAAATTCTATGTTGTTCCAAAATCTTATACCATCCCTATGTTTATACAAGAAACATGTAGGAACGCACAAGCAGTTCTAGTCTTTTACAAATGTCTTGGTTTTTTTAAAATTAATGTTTGTCATAATTAAACATTCACTCGTAATCATAAAATTTAATCGACTGTTGTCAGGTGCTTACACATGAAAAAACAATACAGAACTCATAATTTAAGGGAGGTAAATTCACTACCTCTAATGCTAGCTGCTAGCTGTGATGCTGTTGTTTATTTTTGATAAGAATCGACCTCATTTCATACACTTTTAGTTTTACCAGGGGGTCGGCCTCGGAATATGTAAATAGGGATAACCTCATTACCCGGCTCCAATAGGTAGTCTACAACTGACCACATTTCCTCCATTATCTTCTTGTAACAGAATAAATGGTTTTCCGTGAGTCGATCGGTAACGTTCCCAGTAAAATCGACTATCCAGTATGTGCAAAACGGATACATAGTAATAATGATTTAATAATATGTACATATATTCCATACATGAGTTCCCGACAGTAATCATGATCATCAGGAAGGCGGGGCTTCCATATTGACGCGGATATATTGTATTTGTAAACACACAACTGATTTCCCTTAACAGGTTCTCTACATCTGACCCCATTTCCTACCAGGACAACAGAAGGGAACACCTACACCCTGATGTGTAGCAGCAGTGCAGGTAGTCGGGCCATACAATGGTCGAGAAACAGTGCTCTAACCGTACGTACACGTTATGTGTCTGCTACTCAGTGTGCAGAAGATGTAATCAGTACCGCCGTTTTCGACACATTCCTGTCAGGACGTATCAATACCAGTTGCAAATTTAACCAACACAATGTAACACTCAGGATTAGCGCTCAAAATGACAATGGATCTGTGTGGTGGTGTCAGGATCCTGTGAAGGGCGACAGGAGCAACAACTTAACTATAGGTGAGTATAGGAGACAAATGTAGGAGTAAATCCTTGAAAGTGTAATTTTACTGCATGTGATTCGGATGTCAAACGGAGGTTGTAACTTGTGACCAGGAAACATACAGGTCGGACAAGACGTTTTAGCAACAAATCTTTCGGTTTCGTTGTTTAAATCCAAAAATGTTTACATGGAAGGTCCATTTCATATCATCTGAACCGTGTTGACGTTATCACAAAATGAGTGAGTGGGTATGTATAGTGTCATCCCCCTTTTAACAATATTCCCGCAAAAACACGGCGGGGACACCAGAAATGGTTTTGGTTGGTTGGTTAGTTGTTTAACGCCGCACTCAGCAAATATTCAAGCTATATGACTACGGTCTGTACATAATCGAGTCTAGACCAGACAATCCAATGATTAATATCATGAGCATCGACCCACGCAATTGGGATAGGATGACATGCATCAACCAAGTCAGCGTGCCTGACCACCCGATCCCGTTCGTCGCCTTTTACGATAAGCATAGTCACCTTTTACGGCAAGCATGGGTTGCTGAAGACCTATTTACCACGGAATCTTCATGGGTCCACCAGAAATGGACTTCACACGTTGTATGTTTGTGCACGTGGAGAATCGAATCCGTGTCTTCGGCGTGACGAGCGAACGCTTGAACAACTAGACTACCCCATTGCCTACTCTCACAAAGACACGCACATTCTTATTACATACATTAAACAAATTTATAATTAATTTACCAATATGAGTGTGGAACAGCTATGAACCATGGTTGGTTAGGCAGGAGTGAATATTTGCAAGAAGCGGTTAATATCGCATTTACAGTAGCGCGGTTATAATACATGATTAATGTCATAATTAAATTTTGTAGTTTTCAGATACCATCAGGGGTTGGTTCTACAAATGCAACGATAGTATCAAACGAAAATCAATATTATCAGTTCAATGAGCAAGGCGTGGTCTTAGCTGTTCGTCATATATATATAACTCTCTCTCCCTCCTGAACATCGATTCCATCATAAAATAATATTGATCTTTCTTTTACAATAGAGATCCTTTAGGGTATTGCCTATATAGCTATTTATATTTCCTATTTCCCATTTCATAGGTTTTATATATTGTTTGGGTGTGTTCTTGTGTATTCACGTTTTACTTGCCAGATGTAGTAAACGCAGAAGAAAGTACTGCAGCGTCGCCCGTCACATTAATGACATCTCCGACAGCGTCAAGTGAAAGTAGAACTTCTGTCAGTGAAGGTAAAGTTGTTGTAAAAACATGTCTATTGAAAGATTCTACTTATTTACTTGACAATTTAACATTGCTCTATAATATAATGACGTACTGGCAGTATCAAATATTAATGTAAGTCAGTTGTCTCATATTTCACTAATGACCTTCACTGCTGCAGGCTTGTTTTGTCTCTCACTAACGGCAATGTAACAGTGCACATTGCCGGTCGTATCTGTGCAGTTAGGTCTGTTTACGGAAATACTTACAAATTGTGGTATGATATACACTACAGCCCGAAAGTATTTGTTTCATTTAGCAACAACCTAAAGGTGAGCAGATAAGAGTGAAACAGAACGGGACATTATTTACACACTGGCTGTGAGACATCGCGTTCGAGGGTTACAATATATATAAGTAATGTGAATATATACAAGATTGTCAATAGACATTGTGTATAATAGTTACAGAACGACAGTGAACGCATCCAGATGACTTACATTGTTTAAAAATTATATTCCAAAATTAACGAATATTTTTAAGTATATTAACCTTTTGGCTTATTTATTGTCTTTGGTAGCTTGTTGTTTCACGCCGCACTCAGCAATATCCAGCTATATGGCGGCGGTCTGTAAATGATTGAGTATGGACAGACAATGCAGTGATTAACATCATGAGCATCGATCCAAGCAATTGTGATACGATGACATGCATCAGTCAAGTTTATTTGGATGATGTGTGAAGTATGGTGGCAGATATCGAATGCGTTCGTTACTGCAAAAAGTACAGTTACAAATATAGACGAATTCATCTCCAATATGCCTTTGATTACTGAGTAAACAGTTTCTTTCATACAATGGTACTCTTCTCCATCTGCCAGTTTCTCCTGGAAGCCGATAATTTGATAATCTAGACATTTAACTTCCGCCAGCGGACGTGTGAGTAGGTGCTCGTTCACTGATGGATAGACATGAAGACAAAATCGACAAATTACTTCATAAAGTTGATTATTTAAGTAAAGAATCTCGTTAAGAGAAAACAAGTCCTTAATAATTTGACACTACACTCTTCAAAAAAGGAAACGCACAGGTAGCATGTATTTCATTGAACTTGACTACACAACAAATCCGGTTTATAAATTGGATATTTGTTATTGGAAAATGTTGGTGGCCTGATATTCGACAAACGGTGCGTCAAAACGCAGCTATTGTCGATTTGCAATGTCTTAAACGGCATTGTTTTCATACTTGTTAAAACATGTCATGGAGGAAAACAGCAGAGCAAAATACACGTGCAAGTTATGGCATTCGTAAGTCGTGGTAGTGGCTAAAATAGGCAAGCATAAGCCGCTAAATTGTCAACATTTTTCGAGTTGAAAAATGTCGAGACTCAGCGCTGCCGATCGGAACATCGCCATAGGACGTATCCAAAGCGGGGAATCGCAGTCTTCTATTGCACGCCACTTCAACGTCTACCACAGCACCATTTGCCGCCTTTGTGACCGATACACACAGTTCAGTTACACTGCAGATCGTCCGAGAACCGGCGGACCAAGAGTTACCGCCCCTGCACAGGACAGCCGTAATAAAATGTATAGCTGGAATATTGCTGAGTGTGCATGCGGCGTTTAAAATACAAAAAAAATAACAAAAATCAGTTCATGAACTTGCCAAAGAAGCTTGGCTACCATAATCTTGTCTGGAATGTGCCCGACATGGACTAGCGCCATCGATCCGAATCAGCCTCACTGCAAATAATCATCTCGAATACTGAGTAACGTATCAGTTTTTAACTTACGTTTTAAGTTGAATGCCGCTGAGCAGTAGGCATCAGGGTACATGGGTTTATGTTCCATAAATATAGTTTGTGGAAAGAAACGAGCAAACGTTTGTTAGTGGCATATTCAAATTAGGAGACAAATGCCAAAATTTCCGCGCATTGAATACTCAATACAGCCGGCTAATCTAAAAGAAAACGATGTTTACCGACATTGTGAAATACAAAAGTCAGCACTGGCCACATGAACTCTCACAGACGTGACGTCACCTGAAATGGGATGACGCCAAGATTCAAAAATTGATGTCCCATGCTTCCATTATAACGAGATTTATCTGGTTAGCATAATGACGATAAAAAAAAAACTAAGTAAATCGAAGTTGTTCAGATCACATATTGATCCTATGAAACAAAATATTTAATTGATGTGGTGTCCATTTCGCATTACTATGGCACGTTGAGTCAAAATATTTTATATAATATATCAAGCAAAGTGCTCATGCGCAGTGAAAAGTCCCGTTCCACGGGGTTCGTCGGATTTTGGGGCTTCGAATCCCATTTAATCACGTTTTTCAACCAAAGAGATTACAGCACACACTCCCATTGATGGTACAATGCCGCCTATTCCGAAAAGTCAATATAACATAGACAATGCTCAGAATCAGGGATTCTAACAGATCGGGATATCCTTGCAGGCAAAGAAAATGGGGAGCATGTCGTTTCAATATCATGTATCTCTGACCAAAATTACTATTGCATTTAGTTTAGTTTACTACAGACTTCACAAAATGGAGAATATGTACTGTTTCTTTTTGTTTCAAACTAGTTGAGCACTTCTGTCACATGGACATTGTAACATACTTAACATAATATATGTGCTATATTTTGCATGGTATCTACATGTACAAAAGGCCTGTGGCAAACAGATATCAAAATACACGTGAAGAGAAGCATTCCAAATGTCTAACTGATTCATTGGTTGAGGTGTTGGTTCTGTGATCGAGGAGCTATGATTGTGTTATACCTTTGATGTGTGTGATATAGGAGTGAAAGGAGGGAGCTGGAACAATACTATGTACAGCTCACGGTTTTACTTAATAATCACGATAACGTTTTGAATTTGCTACAGGTTCGAACTCCCTACAACTAACAAGCTCTCAAGCAACAGCATCGTCAGGCCATCCGTACACCTTGATGTGTAGCAGTAGTGGCAGTGCTGGCAGGGACATACAGTGGCACTGGAGGAGTGATTTAATCTTTCGTACACGTTATGTATCAGACACAGACTGTCAAGTAGATGTATCCAATAATGACCTGTACAGACGTCTGTCAGGACGTGTCACTGTAACCTGTAGTCTCAACCAGTACAATGTGACTCTCAGGATCCTCACTTCCATGGATAATGGATCTGTGTGGTGGTGTGTGGATGGTCAGAGAAGTCAGGAGAGCAACAGATGGACAATACGTGAGTATGTTATGGTTTGTTAGTAAACAGCTTGGCTTTAGACGTAAACTGAGCTTTTACTGCGTGACATGTGTTCTCTTAACATTACACACGAGATTAAATGGAATAAACTTAAACAACCAATTTTTAAATTGTAGTTCTGTATTTTGCGTGTGTGCGTGGCTGATATATATTTTGGTATAGCTTCGCCATCACAATTCTTATGTTTTGATGAATATGGTAATATAGGTGTGATCGGAAAGCTTAAAAAATGTCCAGGATTGCTTTAAGCAATATTATTTTGTTACAAATGCAGAAAATTAAAGTACCTCCACAGCACCTCTACTGTGCAATACTTGGTAACAGTATAATATACCTTGGTGTCATACTGATGAAGGCTAAGTTTTTAAGGACACCTAACACAGTTTATCTACCTCATCAAACTTTTCAAATGAAATTAGCGTTTTTTTACGAATGCTCACTTTAAGCATTGGACAGAGTTCAATTTACTTATAATAAAATTACAATCCAAATGTCAGATTTTATATATGCACTACTTTTCATAGAAAACAGCTTTTTTAATTTAATAAGTTATGGATAATCAGTACACACGGAAAACTGTGAATGATGCCGAACATTTGCGAAATTAACCTACTTTCAGATGTAAGAGGCTCAGACTGTAACTCTTTGTGTTTCGATCACATGATGAAAACTATATATTCACCCTCTTATGTGTATTTTGTGTGGTTGAAATGTTTACAATCTCAACATCCTCACGCTCTAAACCTGCTTAAAATATCAGCACTTTTATACACTCAAGTTATCTGGAACCAAAGCATGTTCAGAAGTTTTTTATTCATGATTTGCGATTTCTTCCGTATTTTCAAGAAACTTACCAGCTGTACCTGCGATGGTGCAGAAGGCAAATAACCCTTAGGAGTCAAGGCTGTCAAAGTGAACCTAAATCAATTCAATTGAGTACCAGTCTCAATCCACTCAATGCATCATGATGTATGTTAATAAGGCCGAATAATTGGTTTGGTTTGTTTGTTGTTTTACGCCGCACTCAGCAATATTCCAGCTATGTGACGGCGGCCTGTAAATAATCGAGTTTGGACCAGACAATCCAGTGATTAATAACATGAGCATCGATCCACGCAATTGGGATCGATGACATGCATCAACCAAGTCAGCGTGACCACCCGATCCCGTTAGTCGCCTTTTACGACAAGCATAGTCGCCTTCTACGGCAAACACAAAGCCGAATGAAAACAATCAACAGCAAACGATTTTGTATTTAAATGACTTTTTTTAGTCGAAGATATTATTAAACTATTAATAATTGATCGATCACTTACAGACATTTTTGCCTTTATACTTGAACATTTCGTCACACAATTGTCAGCCTTTTTGTGATTTCATAATCCGATGACAAAATAAAGTCTTTAAGTGGAGGATATTTTCAAATTTGACGCATAAGCTCGACAATAGGTCCGATGCAACTCCCTATTTTGAACAGGACCACATGTTCCCGTGTTTTTCTTTCAGATGAAAAAATGTTTTTCGTTTGTTTGTTTGTTGTTTAACGCCGCACTCAGCAATATTCCAGCTATATGACGGCGGCTTGTAAATGATCAAGTCTGGTCCAGACAATCTTGAGATTGACATCATGAGCATCGATGAACACAATTAGGATACGATGACACGCATCAACCAAGTCAGCGAGCCTGACCACCTGATCTCGTTAGTGGACTCTTACGACAAGCAAACTCGACTTTTACAGCAAGCATGGGTTGCTGAAGACCTATTCTACCACGGGTGAACAATTGATAAGCCTGTGCACGTGTTTGTGACATAGGACAGGCTACACTCACTTGGTATCATCACTATTTGATAATTATTCTTAAACACATGCTCATGATATAGTCGGAATCGTACAATGGTCATTGCTTTAGCTGAGACTTATTACGGTGATGGAAATTGGTTTTGTCACTTTATTAAGATTCATCTCACCTCACATACTCTTGAAGGTGACGTTACTTCCACATCCTTAAGATCCGCAGTGAATAAAAGCGACAAAACTGACTCGACTGTACTATTTCGACAGTTTTACACACTCCCGCACGTCCAAGGCAATTAGCTATCGTGGGCCACCTTTTAATATTATATGTCCCACATTTTCCGTGAACTTGTTTAAATTCATAAGTGGATATTATGAATATATTTAGATCATAATCACGTTAAAATGTTAAACAGTTCAAAACACACTTAGGCATGTAAAGGCATGTGATGTTCATGTTGTTATGTGGTGAGATTCTTGTTCCTTGCTTGTGTGTGGATCCTTAATATAAACTCTTTTGTCATGTTTAGGTTGGTTGGTTGGTTTATTTGTTGTTTAACGCCGCACTCAGCAATATTCCAGCTTTATGACGGCGGTCTGTAAAATAATCGAATCTGGTCCAGACAATCCAGTGATTGACATCATGAGCATCGATCCCGTTAGTCGCCTTTTACGACAAGCATAGTCGCCTTTTACGGCAATTATGGGTTGCTGAAGACCTATGCTACTCCGGAATCTTCACGGGTCTGTCATGTTTAGAATTTAATTGCAACCCTAAGCACATTTAGAGTTACACACCTTAACACATTTGCTGATGGTAAGCTTATCGCGCACCTTAACGTTTTGACGTTGATACTCAGAATCGATAATAAAACATATATTTGAGAAAAGGCACAAATCACCATCATACCATTACGCTTAAACATAACATTTGAACATTTTGATACCACTGTCTAGTCATTTTAGTTACGTAATTAATGCCAGGCGATTTAATGCAAATGACATTATTTTCCAGACGTAGTAAACCTTACGACAGTGTCATCAACAACTACGATCTCAGCAACTTCAGCTACTACAGCTACTACAACAAACTTTGATATCTCCACAAGCACGTCTCTTCAAGGAGTGGGTGAGATACAGTGTTGTGCTTTTCTATTCCATAATAGAACCTAAAAATTTTAACATAAAAAACTGGTTTCCCCTGGAGATATTGCGAAGGTGAGATTAAGCAATACCTACTTTGTGATATCCCTGGAATAAAATTGCATTACAATGTTATGCATACTAGTATGACGTCATCAATTACTATGACGTAACAATCATATGACATCACTGGTCCCTATGCTACTAAGACCGCCTCCGTGGTCTATAGTGGAAGAGCGTCCGCCCGGAGAGCGGAAGGTCCGGGGTTCGATTCCCGGCCGCGTCATACGAGAAGACGTTAAAAGATGGTACTTGTTGTTACCCTCTCTGGCGCTCGGCATTAAGGAGCTAAAACTTAGACTGTTCGTCTGTATACTGTGTCTGAGTGGGGTATTCATGTTAAACTACGGCATGGTATCTCAGTGATCTAGCACTATAAATTGGCATCAGCACAAGCAGCCACACAAACGCGACGTTAAACCCAATTGCACCTCACCTCACCTATGCTACTAATCATGAACCTGGGTAGGAGAAATAGATGCAGTGAAATTGCATAACAAAGTGATGCCTTCGTAATATGTTACCTCAGGAGAAAACACATTAATAATTACATACGTTGAAATTAAACATATCAAGCACACACGACATACACTGAGTAAGACGTGCTAAACTACCATTGATAAGATACAGACGTGTATTTATATATAATATTTAGTTACAATGGTTTACATTTAGGAAAACTTTCTTTGATCATGTATGTCTCACTTTTTCATAAGAATACCATCATTTTTTACTGAAGTTGAAAATCATCACTACATCTGTTTTGATCAAATCTATGTCGATGATGTTCTCACAATTGAATCAACTTAAAGTTACTAGGTTAATATAGGATCCATCGTGCAGTACTTATGAGTAAGTCTCCTCTTGTGTGCATCAATATTGTTTTGTAAGTGTAAGAAAAGCATAAAATTGGTCAAAATAAAGCAACAGCATGATTTCACACAAGCCATTTTCAAAGCACAAATCAGTCGAACATGTATTCCATTCACACGTCCTAATTATATACTTGTAGGATACTTGATATTTCCTGAAGAACTGTGAACCTCCAAACAATTGTTTGTCCTGATTCGCATGTGTCCAAGTCGTGATAGACGTGTAGATATGAACAACTTTAAGTCGGTAACATTTCTGAACATAAAATATACATGCCAAAACCTCAAATTCACCTTCAATTGAAAACAATATATTCATATAGTGTTGTTTGTAATCATTAATCGTATTACGTTTGCTTACACACATCTGTGTTTCTGTAATAAAAAAATTACACAATATGTACATGATACACACCTATCTACAGCGTCTCCAGCGGACCATGGGTCTTATGAGAAAACAACAGGTGATGGTGGGTGGACCAACACCTGCTCTCTCGGTTTATTGGTGTGGATAGCAAACGCCACACCCAAGGTAGCCACATCTGTTCCATTTACGTGTGAACATCTACAAACACTGATGATTGCATGTCCGTTTTTCTTGTCTTTAAATGATTATTTTTCATGTATTTATTAGGGACACAGAACAGTCACATCAAACATGTATTGAATGCAAAAAATATATTGAATCCCTAAAGAAGCATATACAGAGTTACAGTATTATTAGTTTTTAAATTTGTTTTGGTATGTCCACTTTGCAAAGATGCACCAAACGTCGTCTATATTGCGGTAGGAGCAGCGGTGGGTGGCATTGTTGTTGGCTGCGCCATCACCATCATCGTCGTCATCATGTGGATGATAAGGAGGAAAACCAGTACAGGTAGGAAATATTTAGACTGTGTCATATACCACTGGCAATATCACGTTAAAGCAAGTGCACACTTGCAAGGACATGTATTTGTAACTGTGCTGCCCCGAAACTCGGAACAACGTGTCAATATATTATCATTATAGTATTATCATCAAGACAACCGAAACGTATTGTTTACGTACTAAAAGATCTGGATCTTAAGCACAATCTCTTCAAGATTATTTTCCTTACGAAATAATAAATGTTAAAAGAGTCATACTACCATCACTGTTTCCTCTGAAATAACTTCCAGAAGACGATGCGAGCGCACCGAATATCTACACTACTCCGTCCCACTACGAGGACATGGACCACCAGTATGGTAAAGTGGAGATGCAGTACGTCAACACTGTGGAAGGTATTGGGAGTGGTTCCCCAGATTGCGTGAACACAGAGGACCAAGCAGGTAACGCAGCCTACTACAACACAACTGGCCAACATCAGCATATTGATGAAGATGCAGATACAGGAAATACAACTTACTACAACACTGCACGTGATGATGACAACTAGATTCACCTGTCGAGAACAAAAGAACGAAGCATTTGGTAACACCACCGACAGCTGGCATTCCAGCTCTTCTTTATGTCCGCGTAGAGGACATCCTTTTCTATAACAAAGCGTGTTTGTAAAAAAAGCTTTCCTGTGAAAAGTAACTCGATGAAACAGATATTTAGAATGTAATTGATTGTCATAACAACAGAATAGCATACATCTGTTTGATACTGTATCATTGGTTAAACACTTGAAGCAACAGTCCATCTACCTTTTACCATTAGCGCTTTCTTGAAGCAGTGCGTGTGTTTTGGGCTTATGGTTCTTCAATTGGTTGTGTTCTTCTTTTTTTGTATTTTAGCTATTTTATATCTAATATAGTAAAGCATATTTGTAAGCCGGCTCAGGAAAAAAGTATATAGAATGTTTCTGAGACGTTTTTCAGGTATTTCAAAGTGATGTGAAGATAAGAGACTGTATTTCAGTATAGGTAACTACAGTATACAATATCTTCCAAACAAGGACAAAATGTATTGCATTTTACAATTTGATTGAATGAGGTTATGATGCAAATGTTATCGTATGTCCCTTTGGCTGATATGGTGAGCTCGGGTTGGCTATGATGTGTAATAAATAAATAAATAAATAGTGTTCTCCATGGATTGTTTGTTTTGTTGTTTAACGCCGCACTCACCAATAGTCCAGCTATATGACGGTGGTCTGTAAATAATCGAGTCTGGACAAGACTATCCAGTGATTGACACGAGTGACATATGTTCCTTAATCACTCGTACCGAGTGGGCTATTCTATTTATTACCCATATTCATATTAAAGACATGTTTCAAGAAAAAAACAATCAACTGTCGCCGATCAAGAATCAGCTGATTTGTATCAACCCGCGTGTGAACAAACACTGTCCACTCACTCCGCATTACTCAACCAACGTCTTGCTACGCGTAGAAAATATAGTTCTGTTAACACAACTTTAAAGATCACATTATTGCAGTTATATTTCTGTCTGAGTTACACTGCGTACACTATCTAGCATTGATAAAAGAAGACAATTTAAAAAAAATGTTCAACAGGCTTTTTAATCAAGACCTCTCATTGACAAGACAGCAGCCGTCTTGCATCAGCATGGACATGAATTTAACATTGAGAAGAGGAAACACGGAACACCTGTCATTTTCTTCATGTGTCATTCGATAAAAATGCCAAAACCTGTATCAACATCATAGAAGGAATGTCAAGAATGTAAAGAGGACAGTCCAGCCCTGGATGCCATGGTCTTCATGAAAGAGCCTAACTTGTTTCTACCAAGGGACTTAGTTCCAATGTGCCTCTGTTCACCCAGCAGGGAATGGGTACCCGATATGTGAGGTGCCCGTAGGCAGCTTGTGTTGTATACTCTCCAGGGAGTTGAGAATTACAATTGGAATGCAAACAAACAGACAAACTTCTATCAAGATAAGACAAAATTACGGTGGCGCATACCCGCCACTGGTGAGATCATTTTTCACTGTATGCTTTTATATTTTATCTCTCCAGTGCAAGTATTTAGCCGCCGCCAGATAAAATATAGAGGTATACAGGGAAAAATGATCTCACAATCTGGCGGCCGCCTTTTAAAATATAGAGGCATACAGTGAAAAATGATCTCATCAGTGGCGGGTATGGGCCACCGTACAAAATGTCTAAAATGTGTTTTATGTACTTGCTCAAACGCCTATATCTATATATTCAGTCTAGACAAGTATGGAAAGCGTGAACATTTGCTCAGATTTACGTACATGTACATTGTCAGCATTTATTCCGATAGTGATTGTTTTGGTGTCATTTAATAAGCATCGTTTGTACATGTAAATGTAACTTTAAACATGAATGCACGTGGGGACATATAATGTTTATGTTTAATATGACAAGGTAAAGTCTTCCTAGACGCACTGTCAATATTTAATGTAAGTAATGTATTCCAATTGGGTAAACAATCACATGTCGTGTTTTTAATTATTCAATTTCTAAGTAGAACGGTGACTTAATGGCATAAACCCTGCTGTGATATTGATGAAATAGTGGTAAGGGCGACGTAAAAAATCACCCACTCACTCAAGCCTTCATTAACTGGTTGTGAAGGTATCACTGTTATAAGGGAGGGAACTCGTGAATGATTGTCATATATTTGATGCGCACTTAAAATATACTTTCTCCTGTTCTTGGTACTCACGGTTGGAGATTCCAATACTTGCATTCAAAATATCTTTGATGATTAAATTTTCAGTCGTGATTGTGAAAATGTGTTTAATTCCATGCATTCAGCTTTGCAGGTTCGCTGCCTTTGCATAGAGGACACGTGCGCGATAATATTACCGGTGACAGAGCCATTCAACTCCAAACGATTTTGACCTCATATTTATCGACCTCATGTTTATGGAGCAACAATGCAACCTTGTCGTGTCTCAGTAGCTGTTCATAAACATGTCACCAGACAAGCAGCACTAAACGTGTGTGCACAATCTGAACACCAACTTACTGCATACCCAGTATTTTTGATAGAAGCAAGGTGTGTGGGTCTTGTCACATGACTGATGGCTATTTGATCACGTGGTGCACATCACTGTCCCGATGAATGTTTGCTGTTTAACGCCGCACTCAGCTGAATTCCATCTTGATGACGGCAGTAAGTAAATAATCGAGACTGGACCAGACATCCCAGTGATTGACATCATGGACCTCGATGCACGCAACTGGTCAACGATGACTTGCATTAAGTCAGCAAGCCTGACTACCCTCAGTCTTACAACAAGCATAGTCGCCATTTACGGCAAGAATTGGTAGCTGAAGACCTATAGTATTCTAACCCGTAGTGGGGCACGGCTGGCCCAGTCGTCTAAGGCGCCGTGATTCGCTGTGCAGAGTTGCGTCCCGTGGGCACGCTAGAAACCTTTGATTGTGGGTTCGAATCTCGGTTCGCCTAGATCATGTTTCTAGGTTTGTCAGCACCATACCCGTGCTCGTGGGTTTCACCGAAGTGGTAAACGTTTGAGACCTGCATCACTTCGGGCTTTCTTCCCACATAACTTGAATACTGTTAAAAACGGCGTTAAACCCCACTCACTCACTCACTCTAACCCGGATCTTCACGGGTCAATGGCAGTACCCGCTTCCCTGTGCTCATCCCTGTGTACAGTAACAGTGCGGCCCCCTGTTTGTGGAGATGTCATATGCACGTCACCTGTTGTGAGATACTCATTGATGTGATGCATGGAATACCGCCAATGATACCAGTTTCAAATACATCAACATCGAATGACAATTTCTTGCTTGTTTCATTTTCAGGCACCATGAAACATGGATGTACACTCTTCTGTTTTGCCCGGAGTTTAGAATCACGCACTGCAACTACACTCTGCAAACCCAACCAAAGTCTTCATACTTGATTTGTGTTTAGTTAATCCTGTGTACATGTAATCATAGATGTGTATCCATGTCCGCCCAGGCATTGAAACATTACTTGATTGTAACGAAACGTTGTGATATGAAGAACTTGATCATGAACCAAATGGTAAATTCTATCTTCCAAGGTACTGCAGCTTCTAAAATGCCACTTAAAGATAATATTCTTCTTCATCATTATCATTGGCAACCAACGTTTATAAGATGTCTATACGTTGACACCGATATGTTATACTACTCATGATCACGTTGACACCAGGTTTGTTTGTTTGTTGTTCCGCACGCAATATACCAGCTATATGACGGCGGCCTGTAAATAATCGAGTCTGGACCAGACAATCCAGTGTTTGACATCATGAGCACCGATCCCCGCAATTGGGATACGATGAGATGCCTCTTACGACAAGCATAGATAAAGGAAGAAATAGAGCTATTTGCTGCGTTGAAACCATTTCACTCACTCACTGACACACTTATTGATGCTGAGCTGTTTCACGCTTAAGTGCATTGATATAAGGGAGGTAACTCGTGCATATGATCGTCATATATTGATGCACACATGAAATATGCTTTTCACCCGTCTAATATCTGCATATTTAATCATCAGTCGTTTTCATTTATTATTCAGATATGTACATGTAGGTTCGATGTATTGGTATGCAAAGTTGAAATTCTTCAATGTGGTTTCAAGACTGAAAAGAATACCTTGATAGTATTCGAAAATTAAGAGCGCGAAATTATATATGGTTACATGGCAAAATGTCATAACAACTCACACACATGTGTGTTACAGAGAATATCCCTATGTTTTACTGGTAATCGCCAGTGTTTTCAAGGCCGTTCCTTGAGGAAGCTTTGGTGTTCTGTAATATAGTGTGCACCTCTCTTTAGGCGAAAATGTAAATGATTACTAAACGTGCACCGTGATTGACAGATGTTTATTCAATGACGAGTTTACAGTATAAACTTACATCTATAAATCAATCAAATAACAAATATATTCTTCAAAATAATATATGTGAACATATTTGTATTATCACTTGCTCGCTGGGTTATCCACTTTATTTATAACTATTATTGATATTCCCACTGATACCGCATCCTCCATATTTCAGGTTTGCTTGGTGTGTGATACATCGAAGTTTATTGTCTCCCAGAACCAAGTGAAAATATTCAAGTCCCACTCAAGCCCTTGAATGATTAATTTTGGCAAGTCTAGATAAGGATTGCTCTAGACTCCATTTTAATTTATTATTTGTGTTGTGTAGATATGTATTTTTTAATAAGATAACTTTATTTCTGGGACTAAATGTAAGTCTACGACGTTTGAGGCGGACGGTCTAGGGGAAGTAACTCTACACAACACGAGGGATATACACTAAGTCTTACTGCCCGAGCCAAAACGATTTGTTTTTCGAATCATCCCTATTTACTCAGCTCACCTGTAGTCCTGTCAACACATTCAGAAACAGGTTGAACAAGATTGTGTTTCCCAGACAAGGAAGGGATATTCAGCAGGGAACGGCTGTCTAAATATACATCACTATCAATAACAGGCTAATGTTACACACATACCGCGGTAACATATACAGCTGCTGAACAAAAGTTTGTTACATTCACAAATTTCGTAACAGTTGTTGCATTCGTTTCCCCAAAAAGTATTAAAGATGGTCTTTTCTTGTCAAAATAAGATAGTCCACACATTTGACATGCAAATAAGGCAAATAAATGTTGGTATTATGCAGAACATTGAGTTAGATTATGGATGCATTACAATTACTGCTCAAGTTGCGGAGGTAATTTCTACAGGTATCGCCAGTCTGTCTCGGTGAGTACATTCTTTTTGAACATGTACTTTCTAATGTTTATGAAACAACTAAACTGCATAATTCTTCGAAACATTAATTGCATTTGAATGTAATATACTCATTTTGGAATCTAATATAAAGATACTTAGCAAATGCCTACACTGTACAAAGGGTTTCATGACTTGATGTCCGGTGCCATTAAAAATTGGCATTACCCTAAAAGATTTGATCTGTTTTCTTTTGCAGAATTGTCTTAGATAACGGATTTTTTCAATATCTGCTGCCGCAAATATGACAAAGCAAAGAAATTTAACTTTTAGTGAAAGAACCCGGATTGTCACCCTCAGGCACACTGGACTGAAATGGAAGGAAATTCAGAAAGTGATGGCCGAAAAATACAATTGCAGTTCCACAATAGATGGTATGATAAAGTTGATGAAAACTTGCGATGCCACAGGAGATGTTATTGATGCACCCAGGTCTGGCAGACCAAGATGCACAACAGAAGGAGAAGACAGATTGATACGCAAACAGTGTATTATAAACAGATTCTCAACTCTCAACATTTTGAGGGGTATTGTGCGGAAAAGTGTTGGTTTGCGGATCAGTCACATGACAATCTCAAGACGTCTACAACAATTTGGGTTGAAATGTTACGTCCCTTGTAGAAAACCCCTTCTGAATGCAAGGCAGAGAAAACTGAGACGGGACTGGGCAAGAGCACACGCACATTTCAGAGTGTCAGATTGGAACCGTGTACTTTTCTCCGATGAATCTATTTTCAGATGTTTTAGTAATAGGCGTAGGATGAAAGTAAGGCGTCTCCAAAATGAGAGATACCGCAGTTATTGTTCACAGGTGACCGTAAAACACCCACCCCAGGTTCATGTTTGGGGACTCATGTCAGCAAATGGTACCGGTATTCTTAAAAAGGTGCATGGTACTCTTAATTCCCGGAAATATCAGACTGAGATCATCAATGACCTCAAAACACATTGTGAATGCCTTGTATTTCCGAGTAAAACATTCCTATTTCAGCAAGATAAAGCCCCTGCCCATTTTTCCAAGAGCGCTCGTGTGTTTTTGGCTGCCAGAAACATACCATTATTGGAATGGCCTGGTAATTCCCCTGACATGAGCCCTATTGAGACTCTCTGGGACATTATTGGCAAGAGAGTTGCTAGGGAAATGCCTACATCAAGCCAGGAGCTCTGGAATTTGGTAAAGAAATATTGGTATTCTGTCTCAAAAGATACCTGTCGTGGTCTCTTGGAATCGATGACTAAACGAATAAAGGCACTACGAAAAGCAAAAGGGGGTAATACTCCTTATTGAATGTACTTTCTTCTGATACCAATTAGCGCTACAATAAAAGTATTAATAACCTTGTAATATGTGTATAAAGTCTTCATAGCCATGTAAACATAGCAATGTAACAAACTTTTGTTCAGCAGCTGTACTGCCTGCCTGTAGGCTATCCATTGTCAAGGATGGCGACCAAAGAACGCTAGGCTGTGTTCACTGATAGCCATGTAATACAAGCTGTTCTTGTACACGTCTGAGTTGAGGAAAACATGAATGTTTATCAGGCACACATACATGTCGCTGAAAGAAATGAATGCTCGGGTGATCACGAGTTTCAAGCTTTTGTTGCACAACACGGCAATGTACAAGTCAGACGAGTACACCACACTTTCATATCTGTTGTGTACGGTCGTTTACTCACATGAGTGTCAGAATATAGTGGCTTGTTACTGACATAAAAACACCTGGAATTGATTTGAAAGGGATAACGGTTAAAACGAGATGTACACACTTTATAGTGATAGTCACATGTGGTGGGGAAAAGTGACTATACATTAGACACGGGGATACTAGTTTGTTGTTTTGAAAGACATTATTTAGTCAGTGTAAAGTTTCATGCATATGTATTTCAGTTTACAGAATAAACAGAACTCAGCTGATTGTAGGTCGGCGGGTCGAACTTAAATAAATTAAATGTAATTTTATAATCTGTTTCGTTCCTTCAGAAATTATACAAGTAAGAAAGTTGGTTGATCATTTACGGATAACAAAAACGTCAGCTTTAGGAAAGGAAATACATTTTACATTAAATCTCTTTTGTCACTCACAAGTCATGCCGTTGGTAGTGTTCAGGTTATAGCCTATGTTTCTGACATTACATATCATAAATCATGGACCTTCTCAAATATCAAACAATTGTTTTTCGTAATAACTCTTGAGACGTTAACCTCGCCCGTGTTACGAGTGGCGATGCGGTTGATTATTACATGGAGTAAACACTACATTAATTAAACTAATAAATGGGTCATGATGTGTTGCTTGCGGACGTAATAACTGTGTATGGACACCAACGATATTGTGACATCATTTTAGAGATAAAAAAGATCTGTCACCGTTAAAGTGATGTTATCATTGATAATTCTTGTTTTGACATACTGACAATACAGGTGGAATTTGCAATATGGGCAATTTAAACTATGTTTGTTCATATTATCAACTGATATTGTGAGGCAGGAATTCATGCAAAAGCCCTGAAGTATCCACTGAGGCATGGATACCAAACTGGCGTTAGGTACCCCGTGTCGCTGTGCAGAGTTGCGTCTCTCAGGCGCCCCAGTGCCGCCCTGATAACGACTCTTGGTTTCTTAGCACCACACCCATGCTACTGGGTTTTACGCACTCACTCCTTCCGTCACTAATTCACACCGATGTACCTGGTAGCCTTTCTATCATTTCACAGAAAGAAATTTCCTGAATAGATATGGAAAATAGCAAGTTTGAATCTGCATTACATGTAAAATTAATTAGAAATCTTAAAAACGTAAAAAAGCACCAAGCCTGTTCGTGATTGTATCCTCCATAACAAGTTTAGCAACAAGTGATGAGTTACAAGTTGGAGCAGGGGATCTTTGAGTAAACAGATAGCTGTTGTATATGTGGAGCCTGTGACGCAATGATTTTTATATTTTAACACACAATCAATGTTTATAATGAAAACACTGTACCAATCATACTGCTGAAGAGAGTATCAAACTATTTAACTAAGATGTGTCACCGAAAATCTACGAGGCACATATACAGAACATCTCCTTTTTAAGAATTCTGACATTATATATGTCAGTCCATTTCGCATCATCAAAGGATTCCCCTTTTCCAGCCTCTCTGAAACAAAACAAATATGTGTCACTTGCCACACAGTATCCTCATAAATCATCTGGATAAATATTAACAATCTGATGTCACATACTTATCGCTGTATATACGAAGGCCATGTGGGGACACAACGTCATTTGCTTATTTTATCAATACCATTTCTTGACAATTCCGCAGAATACTTACATTAGTCTTCCTGCTTCTTCCGGATCATAGTTTTGTCAGGTTTGGCGTATAGATCCTCAATGTTGATGTCATCAGCTGTACCTGTAGGTCCCGGCTTATTTGTCTTGGGTTTCTGCACTTGGGCGTAAACATCTGATAGAAAATGATACTTTATTTATACTTTAAATTAAGGAACAACAATCACGTAGTTAAAGTGACCTTTACTTTAATCTATTACTTTGATATAGAACTGCTACTCTCCAGTTCCATGCTGCGGGAACAGGAACATGTCAGTACAACACTAACAGTAACATCACACATTCAGGACTTTGGCAATTACACGGTCGATCAAATAAATTCAAGTCAAATTAAAGGGTATCAAAACACATTACATAGCTAACGTTCAAACATCTTACTTGAAGTCTACATAAGGCCACAAGCAGTATTCAGAAGATGTGATACATGGCCTCCCTTTTGTATATTTCAAGCTGGTGTGACTGACTGATATACGCAAATCGATTGCTGGGCGTGCCCACGTGACATCGTATGTGCGAAACAGGGATTTAAAATCATGGAAAAGGGATTATCAATAATTAAATAAAGTTGAATTGACAGCGTTTCATAAGTTGTTATGGTTCTTTATTTGACTATGGTTCAATATATTCACCCCGCATGGACGTTCCCAACAATGTCGAAACATGACTACAACAACAGTGCAGCATCGGCAACGGTAGAATAGAGGTGATCCTACTTTGAATTATTATTTTGTTGTAATTGAGGTTGTGTTAAGGCTGACGTTTTTTATTTCAAATGTACAAATTCTATTGAAATTGCAATTAGAAATTAGAAATTAGAAATTTTCTAAACGATATCAATGGATCGCAATCTGGTGAGATGGTATACAGTGATAGCGAAATTCCTAACCTGTTATCATGTGATCATTTGTTGAAGGCTGGTTGGGTGAAGTGACGTCACGTGACGAAATTAGAAATTAGAAATTTTCTAAACGATATCAATGGATCGCAATCTGGTGAGATGGTATACAGTGATAGCGAAATTCCTAACCTGTTATCATGTGATCATTTGTTGAAGGCTGGTTGGGTGAAGTGACGTCACGTGAAGTCTCATAAATATCATTTTCCACTGTAATAAACAATACAAAATGTTGCACGTGGATATACACTTCAATTGTATAACAACAACAATAAAATGTACATTTGTATTTCGCCAATTCCACATGAAAGCCTGATCATATTACTCGTTCCAACGGACAAGTCAATATTTAATTTGTATTCAGGGTTCTTGGAAAATATACAACCAACCCTGCCCGAATTCGAAGGCGCTCTGAGATTCTACATTCATGTATCCTTCTCATCCTACTGGGCACCCAATTGCGGCTGTAAAACAGGGGCCAATTCCTGAAAAGCTTGGTCAAGAAGACACCTGTGTATGACAGTGTGTGACAGGACCAGCTGTCATGTTTGATGAGCGGAAACACACAGATCTCGACATCCAATCTCCACCACCCCAACGTAGCCTTATTTGTGACCTGTGCGCTAATACATAGCATGCATACATCCGTAATTAGCATACTATTATTAAAGCATCACACAATCCATTGATCTTACCTTGAACTTTGTCATTAATGTCTTGGTCTTGTAAGACGCGATTTCTGAAACAAATACATTTACAGATATCATTTATCTAAAACAGGAATGAAACCAGAATATCTACTGTCATTCAATAAGAATTAAACGTTGTATTAATATGTGTACATTTGGATGAAATAAATTTGTGTTTTGTAAATTATAAAATCTCACTTCGACGTAACAAACGACAAAACCCTCAAACGTTTCCATACTAGATTTCCACTATGTCATAAGCACATGCTTTTGAATCGTCATGAACGCATTTTATACAAGAGTTTACTTACTCATTGTAGTAGGTATGTGATGCCTCGTGGTTGTGTTCATGTGCACTACCTGTAACAAAAGCAAGCTGTATGGGTTGTAGCGTTGCGTTTGTAAGAAAATGTCAATTGACGATTAACTCGAACAATCTTAATGTGTTGTTATCACACCCAATCTGTTTATTATACACCCATCCGTATTGTTCTGACGCAAACTGCAGGTCGTATCATAAGACCAAGGTATTGACACGTTTAGTGGTTGCTTTACCGTTATTCACAGGACGGCCTCTCCTTCTTCTTATACACAGAACACTGACGACGACAACAATGACGACTGCAACACCTCCCCCAACACCAGCAGCGATGTAGACAACTTGATTATCTGCATCTGTATAAGAAAATATCATGTAGGAATATTCTTCTTATTATATAAACATGGTCACTTTACCTGACGTAATACAGGCCAAATGTTCCCCTCACTCGTCAGCGCAGTGACGTAACCAGTGTTCAGGATACATAGATTTTTGTTGGAAGTAAAATAAATGGAGAATCTCACTCTCGGGTCTTTTAATATGAAACATGTTAAAACGAGTTGTATTTGAGTTTAAACTTTTATCGACTTGTGGTGATATACTTGACATCAACAGACGCGAAGGTGATATTCTGATATCATCCACAATCATTTCTCCGTTTTCTCAGTTTGTAAACGACAGTTACCAGAGTCTTTAGTGAATAAAAGGTATAGGTAATCGGCTTCTGTCTCAGAGAGTTTAGTGCTGTTATGCTATTGTAACGTTATGGTAACTGATGACGTCACGTGGTCTGTTAAGCATTGGGATGAAATTTCATTGAAGCGGTATCTCCTCGGGGATATCGCGTGATCCAAACGTTATCTCCCGTTGAAGCCAGTTATGAGTGAATAATCTATTGGTCCTAGTATGGAATATAAGTGCATGGCAAAACATTCAGGTATAATATAACAACACACCCCCTCCTTGAGGAGACTTGACCGCCTCTGTGGTCTAGTGGTCTAGTGGTCTAGTGGTAGAGCGTCCGCCCGGAGAGCGGAAGATCCGAGGTTTGATCCCCGGCCGCGTCATACCCAAAGACGTTAAAATATGGTACTTGTTGTTACCCTGTCTGGCGCTCGGCATTAAAGGACTAAAACAAGTACTTGTAGGCTCGGAGTCAGTAAACTGTGTCTGAGTGGGGTATCCATGTTAAACTGCGGCATGATATCTCATTGTGCCAGCACTATCAATCGGCATCAGTCCGGATAAGTACAAGCAGACACACACACACACACACACAAACACACACACACACACACACACACACACACACACACACACACACACACACACACACACACACACACACACACACACACACACACACAAACACACACACACACAAACACACACACACACACACACACACACACACACACACAAACATGCACGTCGCTATATAAGCGCAATAATCTTGGACGCGACGTTAAACCCAATTTCACCTCACCTCACCTTGAGGAGACTTGCTTGAGGAGATTTTGTCTGATTTTGCTGCAGTAGCTGTAGTTGCTGTTGTAGTTGCTTCTGTAGTAGTTGTAGTTGCTGCTGTCGCAGTTGTTGAGGGCATTGTCATTGAGTTTACTACTACGTCTGAAAATTAGTATTATTAATTCGATTAAATTGCTTGGTTTTGATTATTTTGATTTAACGAACAGACTCAACATGATCTTAATTTACTCGTACAATAAGTTTATATATAAACTGAAGATTGAAACATTTTGAATTACAAAAAAACCCAAAAAAAATGCATTCGGTCAAATGTTTGTAACATGGTGCAAACAACTGCCCTAAACGCAGAACACTCATTTCAAAAGAACCAAGACAATGCAAGTGCTGCGACAAAAAGTATCGCAAACAGGTTGTTCGGTGCTGAATGTATATAACAGTGCATACGTATAACTTTTATCTGAATAATTTACGATTATTCGGCGTCCTATCTAAATCTGGACGATGACCGATAAAATCAGTCTTTGGACAATGCAAACTATATAATACAGCAGTGGCAGATAACAATGACAATCATTTTTCGATGAATAATCTACATGTAATTAATTATTTGCTCTCTTTCTGTCTGCTGTATTTATAATATGAAGTTGTTTTAAATAATAAGTAACAAGATTCAAGGAGTGAGTGAGTGAGTTTGATTTTACGCCGCTTTAAGCAATATTCCAGCAATATCACGGCGGGGGACACCAGAAATGGGCTTCACACATTGTACCCATGTCGGGAATCGAACCCGGGTCTTTGGCGTGACGAGCGAACGCTTTAACCACTAGGCTACCCGACCGCCCCCGATTCAAGGAGGAACGGGGTGGTAATATGAATACAAATAAAGCGATCAATAGCAAAAACCATACCATTAAAACAGACCATGTGTAAACGTCAAGGGATAACTTGTCATTCTATTCAACGTTTCTACCGACCATGTGTAAACGTCAAGGATATAACTTGTCATCCTATTCAACGTTTCTACCAACCAAAAACCTAATCAATCACATAAAAGGGGTTTATTCTTGATTTATTGTTACTTAATACTTTGGAATATATTGCTCAGTTAAAGGAGTTTTACATTATATACATGAAGTATAATACATCACATATACATAATATACAATGACCATCAATCATTATGAATATAGTAATATTAACTTCCACATCAATGTCAATTTACTGTCAGTCATTTAACTTAACAAATAATGGAGTTCATCACCTTTTGTCAGATAGTTTACAAAGTGGACATTTGGTTTCGGTTAAAGGTATTTTTCTCTGTGTGTGTGTGTGTGTGTGTGTGTGTGTGTGTGTGTGTGTGTGTGTGTGTCCCTAAACTTATTTTTCTCATGTTTGATAGATGGACACTTCCCAAATACATGAATTATGGAGTACATGTTCTTAATGGTAAAAGATATTTTAGAAAACGCAAATGGACAGCTTATAGAGTTGAATCCCCATACTTCGCTTCTGTAGAGAAGAACTGGTATAACCATACGGTAAGTGATAATTTTTTACCTTGACGACCCGGGTTGTATTCTAAGCACCATATCAAAAATTTCAGTGAAAACAACATATTTACAGTTTAACTGAGCCGTTTAAAACTTCAAAGAGATAGCCAGTGTCTGGGTCATTTCATTATGAGTAAAGGGGTGGGTGGCAGTTGAAAAAATATTCCACTGTCTGACAACTGCGTGTTTGACAAATGGGAGGACCCCGTTCTGTATAATATTTCAACGGAAATTTTGTGAAATGAAGAAAAGGACTTTTGGTAAGTAGCGTATATCATGCTTCACTTATTTCCCTAAACTGGTCCTGTTGCGGGCGTCGTTCAATCTCATCCAAGACAAATCTTATAGGGGAGAGGTCTGGAGAAACAACAGGCCATGGCACTACGTACAGCAATGTTATATGTGCTGCCTCAAAAAGTGTGTTACAACATGTGCAACGTGTGGGCTGGCATATCCTGCTGCAACGTGACGTTACGCTCCTGCATTTTCACATAGGGTAGAACATGACCTCGAACTGTGTCGTTCCAGAGGCGTGCTCCATTCAGATTGCAATGGTGTGTTGTGTTCTCCCATGGGCCACTTCTAAACAACTGATGACGTTGCTGAACGGAAGCGTCGCTAAACCGGCCCCTGGACTCATTATTGAACAGCATTTTTCCCAGTCCTGTCTTCAGAACTTCAGATGCTATCTACACCTAGCTAGACGTGACTGACGGTGATGTGTGAGCAAAATTGGGCGAATCGCTGAACCTCGGTGTTGGTTGTTGCAATCCCCCAACCGGTTCTGAAGGGTTCGGTCACTATTAGATCTCAGCCCAGGAATTCCCAGAGCTGTTAATATGGCAGTTTGGTAACGATTCCGTAGATGCACCAACCGAATTTGGTTGTCTTGTTAACGTGACGTCACATATGGACGCCGGGGCAAAGACAAGCCATGAGTGTTGGCCTGCTGTAGATAAAGGCCATCGTGTTTCGCCATTCCTGTTTGCAGCAGGCCTACGGCGCATGGACGTTCATATTCAGCAAGCCGAGTCATTGCGCAAGCGTTACTTATGGTTAAAGCATAATGGTTTTGTTAGCACTTGATAATCAAACAATCATTAAGTGTTGCCCTTTCGTAGATAACGTCACCCAAAAAGGATATTTAGTTTCGATGAACATAAAATGCCTGTAAATTCGTTTTAAGCAACGTCGGTTAAAATGTTGATTTTTATTAAATGGTGGCATTGCGCAAACGTTATTTTACAGTCAAAAGAAAGGTTTCATAGCTAAATAAACATTGTGTGTTGTTCGGATTGAAACAAACACATGCGTGGGTATCATGCTCCCAACAAACGCACAAACATCCAAATAGAGAGCCGTACATTAACATGTACATGCAAATTGTGAAATTAGAGATGTAAGCCAGTAATGCTTCGGCCAGTATACCACTAAGGAAATAGGTTATAGAAAGACTCCTTATTATTGCGCATGCGCAAAGAAAAGATTGCAAACGACGCGCAAAAGAGCGATATCCTGATCATAACCGAGAACATTATTTGCTAGGTCTAGAATGACAAATTGTGTACAGTTTCATAATGTCACAATCTTTTCGTCAGAAAAGGCTCGATTGCACCTTCAAACGGTTTGGCCATATTACATGTTTGGCTGTTTGTCAAATGCAGAGATGGCAAGCAAGCGACAATGTGCCATCCGTTATTCCATATTATTACCCACCTGGTGAAGATACAGGTGGTAAGATACTAAATCCGTACGTCACATGTGTGTCGTACAAGGTTGACTTCGTTTTATTCGTTTTGATTGGATAACCATGACCTCTGTCACACCGGGACTACTTTTTCCATAAATAAAAAATCGTGAGACATCATTCACTTTTACAACTACAAGGCAGAACTGAGGCTATCTCATGAGAGCGAGCGATATTTAAAAACACTTTATTAAACCAAACAAGACAGTCACACGCAACAACTTCGGTTTGCATTCTATATAAGCTATGCAGCTTCTACTTCTACAGACATTATATCATCGAGTTATTTCTACAGGCATTATATAATCGAGCTATTTCGACAGACATTATATAATCGAGCTATGTCCATTTACAATGTACGACTACCTATAAAAAAATCGAGGGTCCCCCATGAGCGTGACGTACCCGAGCACTTTCGCAACTTTCAATTTGATTTAACGAACACGGTTAAACGTGGTGAAATGAGGTCAGTTTAAACTATTTGGACAGATATCTAGACTTACTTGGGATGATCCGGTTGTGCAATCAGTGTCCCCTTCAAAGCGTATTTTGTGGCACTGTTTTGTGAGTTGTTTGTTCACGACTGCACGATCAGATCACTCAAAGTGAACATTTCCGATACAAATCATTCGAACACTATGTAAAAGTGTGCCTGACTTCTGATTAAGTGGCCCAAAATATCCAAAATATGAACATTAACGTACATTCCTTATATCTAGCGTAAAACTCTGTGAGTAGATCTCGGTTGTCTTTTCTTATTCCGGTGGTGACCTTGCCCTTCGATTGTTCGAAGCTGTCACTGACATGCAAACAGACTTGAGTTTGTTGATTTCCCTCTGCCAAAATGGTATGGACATGATATACATTCACCTGATAGATCAAGGAAACCGAACTATTTTGATTGCACAGACGGGACCCCGGCAGTGCGAGTGACCAACTGCATGTTGGTCCGATATTCAAAGCGCGGCGCTAATGTGACTTTTCACCTTTTCTTATAGGTGTCCTGCGTACTAACAACATGGCACTTGGATTACCATAAGGTGAAGAAATTCTTCCAAAAGGATCTTGAGCGTCGGTGCTATTTTGTTTGCAAATACAAATGCAGGCGCATGTTGTAAATGTGTATACATAGAAATGTCAACAATATTCATGCGCAACCAGATTTTGCAACCGGTTTCAGTTTAGTCTGTGAAGGAACGGAAGTTGTTATGTATTTATACTTATATTTATACTTTCGCTCGTCAGATACCATAGAAAGTCCACTCGTTTCGCAAAAATGGTATCCAACGAGAATGAATGTTGTATTCTGTATATATCTGATCAGCACAAATTGAAAAACACCGCATTTGTTTGATATATGTGATATGTCCATCACTTTAAGATAATATAAACAAGGTTGAGATGAACTGGAATGGACTTACAGTGTAAAGAAGTGTAAACAATGAAACCGGTTGATTTGTTGCTGAAGATTCTTGTCCGACCTGTATGTTTCCGAGTCACAAGTAACGTAAACGCTACAGAACCTCCGAATCACATGCAGAATAATTACGTTCATGGAATCTGTTGATTCACCGTGTTTCACTTTCAAGGATTTACTCCTACATTGTCTCCTACTCACCTATAGTTAGGTTGTTGCTCATGTCGCCCTTCACAGTATTTGCACACCACCACACAGATCCATTGTCTTTTTGAGAGCTTATCCTGAGTGTTACATTATGTTGGTTAAATCCGCAACTGGTATTGATACGTCCTGACAGGAATGTGTTGAAAACAGCGGGGTTGATTATATCTTCTCTACACTGAGTGGCAGACACATAGCGTGTACGTACGATGAGAGCACTGTTCCTCGACCACTGTATGTCCCGACTACCTGCACTGCTGCTACACATCAGGGTGTAGGTGTTCCCTTCCGTTGCCTTGGTAGGAAATGGGGTCAGATGTAGAGAACCTGTTGGAGGAAAATCGCTTATTATATGTATAACATAGACAATGAAACCCATCAATCTCGAAGACCGGACGATGACTGTCAGGAACACCAATGTATTACTAACGCAACATTATTTCGTATCCATATTCTCTGTCAATACTATATATTAAACATTGTTACGTTGCTACGTATTGAAGTACACTGTTCGACTTATATGTGTTATAAATAACTCCGATATATGATTTTATCACCAGCAAGGACAAAACTGAAAATGAAAGGAATTAATTTGGAGAACAATTGCAAAACAACAACACTTACAGACATACAACCATAATGGAAGCATAATTTAACGCCAATATAGAAACTTAAACATTTAAACATACTGTTACAGATCGGTTAAAAGGTGCGTGGATAAAAAGAATATTAGGCATAGTGTTGATTAAATATATAACGTCAACGCCAGAAAATACTCGATTATCCGACGAAACAGATTCCATTGGGCGTAAAAGGCAAAATAGCGGTAAAAAGCAACGAATGCTGACTGGTATGAACAACTTTCAGCCCTGTTTGTTCTCATCATGAGCAATCACTGTCGGCGACACTTATATGCGACTTTATAAGTTCTTTACCTTCTTTAAATAATGCTGGTCATAGCAACCTCCGATGCTTGATAATGAAATTCCAATAATTATATTTTCTGTATTAACAATTTTGAGGTACTGTAGCGTATTTCTATTTTGAACACACATGTTCAATGTTAGAATGTCTGAATCGAGAGAGGTTGTACCATCGTTGTTGGCCTATTTTGTAGATGAGTTCAGTATTTGATAGCCAAGTATATTTCGAGATTATTTTGATGCTGACATATTTATGCTCTTTTATTTTTAATCACAATCATTTATAGTAACTGATGGTAAGTATTTTTTTCTTCTTCCTGAATTCAAAATCATTTCCTCAGGTGATTTTTTCATTACAGAAACGTTTTAATGCATTCTTCACTGGAAAATTAATTCAATTGCTATGACAGAATTCATGATCAGATGATTACATAAAGCCTGCTGGTGAGGCATCATCAGCAACTGTCAGTATTAAACAAGTGTGTACATTGCAAAATCAGTCGTGTGTATATAATGTAGTTGGAACAAATGAGATAACACGACCTTGTGGAGCTCCCGTAGCTGTGAAAGTTGCGAAAGTGTATTATTTACTGCAACCAATTGTGGCCTATATCTGGGAGTATACCTTAAAACACATGTGCCATCCAAACTAGACATATGAATGTTTGCCATACTATAATCATCAATCAATATTTGGATGACCCTGTTGTCATTAAAGTCTCACATGCTCACCAAAAACTATGTTAACCGGTTCCAATGTCAAATTATCATTATTGGTTTGTCAGCATCATGCGTCATGCTCTTGGGTTGGTCATCCAAGACCTGCATCATTTAGGGTATTTCTACAACATAAAGCTGACACGTCATGATGTACTGTTCTTTGTAGCAGTGTTTATGCAATGGACGTATGTTGGCCATGTACACCCAGTGTCTAACATACTACTCATTCCAGGTAAGCATTGCTATTTTGATATTTTTACCGTGAAAAGGCAGAGTTTCGTAAATTAATGAATAATGATAAATACACCCGTCCCCGACACCTCGAAAACAGAACACGAAAAAAATATAAAAAATAGAGAGACTCTTATATTGCTTTAAGGGATGAAATCTGCGACTTCTAAAGGCTTTAAACGCGATGTTTGGGACGTTAGTGCGTTTGGAACTCTACAAAGTGACACAGAGTGCGTGAAACGTTAACGGAGATGTCTTTGTATGTGCCAGTTACATCAGTCGTAATGCCTGGTACTGAGTGTGTCCACCATTGGAATAATGCTGAGTGCGTTGTAAAACAACAACACAAACAGAACAAGCACAACACCTTCTGCCCTTGGAATCATAAAGCCCTCGGATGACACCTTGTGGAATGAAAGTCCATTTTTTTAAGGAGCTGGCGTACTGGCTGTTAGCAGCATCAGTTATAGCGCTCATTCTGTCGCCGAGCCACACGGAGCCGCCCATTTCTCCTTTGAAGAAGGAAACGGGATTCGTCACCCAAACAAACACGACGATTACGTTTGGGAAGCTACTTGTGATGTAACTTGTGATGAGTTCACTGCTCCCGCTGAAGCTGATGACGTTGAGATACAATAAGTCGAGAGTACTTTGGGTCGAAAGTCAATGACCCGGATGTTGCGATCCTGATGATGAGGGGTCTTCCTGATCATGAACGTTTGCTGGAGGTTACACGTTGCTGATGTCGTATACAAACTCGGGACATTGCGTGTGAATAGATAGCTTCAAGATCTATCAATTGTGCTGTTTGTAACATTTTTGTTGAATCTTGGCATGACGAGTTTCAAAATGTGCTTCTTTTACTGAATCATAGTGATTAATGAAAACAACGAAAAGAAAACAAATTTATCGCTTGCACGTGAAAACTACTTCTAAGTGTCCCAATTCAAGAAAAGGAAACATGTACATGTCAAAAGTCTTTGCCATGAGACTTTATCAGTATAAAAAGAACATGTGGACTTTATTTTCATGTTGCAGTGCAACATGAAATACTTTCCTTCCACGAAATTTACTTACGAAAAAAGTGTTACCACTTATGCGTTTCTTTTTTGGGAGATGATATATAGTTTCATAAATCCCTATTGCACAGTGTGACTGTAGTTATGTCCACCCATTCGCTTTACATCAAACCATATCTACGCCAGATTATAGTTACATCCCTTATATATCCTTTTAGCAATATTCCAGCAATATCACGGCGGGGGACACCAGAAACGGGCTTCACACTGAATGAAGGCTTCTGTTTGTCTTTACGGGTGTAATGACCTACATCACACAGCACTTTGTATGTGGACGACTGCAAGTGAATTACACTTAGTTCACAGGATATGACGTGTATTGAAACCGAATCTGACAAAATACAGGCCTCTGCAGACATGTGAGTGTTACTACAACGAATAAACAGGAAATACTACCTTCATGGTCAATGTCGTTGTATTGTATATGTGTGAACAGGTTATAGCCGTACAGGAATCATTACAGTCCAGACTCGATTATTTACAGACCGGCGTCATATACCTGGAATATCACTGATTGCGGCGTAAAACAACTAAACAACCAACCAACCAACTGTTCAAAGTTACAAAATGACTGATGTTACATTTTGACTGTAACTTATTCACATGGAAAAGAGTTAAGCACCCAACGTGATAATGCATTAAAACATGTTATAATTTCAACTTTAATGGAAACGATGTTAATGAGATGAACAGTCTGCCATCGTAAGAATGTGATCGTTCATGTTAGACTCTGATGTCCGGGCTCACCATGGCATGCATTTGCAGCATTCCTCTATTGTATTCTCCAAAATGCAGTTTGTTCAGGCAATTTGTTTGGTATTTAAATCTGCAGCCTGCCAATTTTTAATTATTCCCTGTGAACATGGTACGAAAGAGCATGTCAGAAACGCATATATGGAATCATTCAACAGGGTTGTCCTTCAAAATAACGCGCGTCAACGCGAATTACCACGAGGAACATTGTCCAACCAATGCTGTGGAGGACCTTTCACGGCCAGGACGCGCTCCTATATGTTGTCACAGCGTAAAAACGGGACACTGCTTCGATTAGGACAACGATGCCATTTGCAACGAATCATGATGCGACAATGGCTACGCAAACGACGTCTGTCAACCAGAACCCTGAGGAACCGCTTGCATATCCCCCGTGAATATATTATCATGTAATGGCTTCCATATGAGATATCATATCTGAAGAGCTATGGCTTTCACTAATTGGTCGATTGACATATGCATTAGCTTGAGGTTCAAATTTCCAAATTTTAAGTGATTCAGTTATGAACTTTTACTTCTACTTCTATTTTGATTCATTTCAACAATCTAACGTCATGGCGGTCAATTATTAACATATCGTCGTCATGTAGCTGGAATATTGCTGTGTGCGGCGTTAAACAACAAACAAACAAACACAACACCTAATATCTAGCACGTGAGGATGTGATCGAGTTCAAGGAACAAATCACGTCACAGCACAGCAACGGTGAGGGTCATTATCTACATTGGTACAAAATAAAGACATTTTGTTAAAAGTTACGTTTTAATTTATGAACACACGTATTACAATATTTAGGCAGTGAATGCCAACACATATCGTACAGTTACGTGTATTATGATCGTCCCAAAAGTCTTAGTTGTTATAAAAATGCATTGTTTGTACTTAATGATTGAGAGTGCTATTGCCATAATGTTAAACACATTTTCTTACTGGTTTCTTTTGACTCAGGTAGGAATGTGTCTCCTTGGAAGCTCATATCAGTTGAAGCAATGGGTGAAGGGGACTCGTAGCTATTTGTGTTTGTTTGTTGTGTAACGACGCACTAAGCAATATTCCAGCGTATGACGGCAGTCGGTAAATAATCGAGTCTGGACCAGACCGTCAGTGATTGACATCATGAGCATCGATCCACGCAATTGGGATACAATGCATGACATGCATCAACCAAGTCAGCGAGCCTGATCCCCGATCCCGTTAGTCGCCTCTTACGACAAGCATAGTCGCCGTTTACAGCAAGCATGGATATTCACGGGTCGACTCGTAGCTGTAGGGGTAATTGTGTATGCAGTTGCAAACTTAATATAAAGAGCTCCTGACAGGAAGTGGCTTAAAATTCTAAGAATTATATCAGTGATAGTCATTTCAGTTTCGGAATCAATACTATCTGTTGTACTAAAAACAGTTTCGTTACTGAAACAAATATAAAAATATCAACCAAATCGGAATTTCGAATGGTATAAGGAATTTTGATCTTTTGAATAATTCTTGGAATAGCCTTGCTTAATTAGGTACGTACAATCTAATTGTGTTAACACATTTCGAATTACAAGTCAGTGCATTGTTTAAAGCTTTTTCAATCACATGTGCAACTAAAGGTCAAAACTGGCTGCTATTCTCGTCTTATTGTATCTGCACAGAAAAACGATTGAGTCATAACTTTTAACGATTGGTGAGTGAGAGGTCATGAATCGAAATGGGCTAAATTAACCAAAGTTAGCTTATACAGATCATACACATATATTGCAATGTCAACGTCCTTGACAAATAAGATAGAAATTTCAATCCTTCTTGAGATCCTTATAACTGCATTGTAAATTATGTATCAAATATTTTAGGAACCACAAATTGTCGTTTTATAACTTTGCTATTCGCTATTATATAAAATATTCCCTTCGAGCTGACGCGGTTTCTTTGAGACTTTTTGTGAAATAATTCGAGTGTTTCGAAAATTCATGGGGAAAATGTCTGAGACATGTCCTTTTAAAACTACTAACATTATACTCATGTGTACCGTACACGTAGAATATATTTAAAACCATCAAGCATGAACTCACCCGCTACATATGTAGTGAACCCACAGGCCAACAACACAACTGTACGCCAAACATCCATTTCAACGAACACAGGCAGGAGTTACTGGCTATTTTACTTAGTTTTTCCTCCTCAATGCTGTTGATACCTCCTCAAATGACGAAACTCTTCATTTATATTGAAATCGACGTACAACTAATGCATCTTCCCCAGGCACAGGTTCCACAGGACGCTCTGGTCCATGAAGGTTGTGCTCACCACTGACTCCTGCACGTGTCGTAAATATGCTGTAACACTGGGCACTGTTAGGCTTCAGCGAGGTCTCAATACATGACTCTTACAAACTCACACACAAGTCCGTGTCGACAATGGAGCTACACCTGAAATGCGAACCTGTGTTTGTGAGACCAGGAAGTAGTATCTGCAGTCAACCGTATCATCGATAAGCGATCTAAATATAGTCTCTGCTTTAATACCCAAGTCATCTTAACATTACCATCACGTGTTGAGTGTGTGAATATTACTACAATAACATATGACGTCCTGTTGATAGTCACAGGAATTGATATATTACATGCATTACGTGCTCATGATTGCTAGGCGTACATTGCATATTTACCGTGCTTCAAGTTACAGTATCTATGCAGTGCTGTTTACATACTCCCTGACAGATCGGCTGTGTTTCATAGTTAGATAACTCTTCAATACAAAACTACTTCCTTGTCTGGCAAAACACCGAGTGAACAGTGTGTGACCTAAATGTGTACATGATGTTTCATACTTTATGAAATATAGAGGTTAACCATCCTCCAGTGTACACTGTATCGACTGACTGGGATAAACAAGGAATTGTTCAGCAAGTATTTATGGATTGATACAAGCTGTAATAACAAGGGATGTTCACGGAGAACGCCATCTTTCTATAATATCCAACAATCTAGGATTATAAGTATAACCGACTTATTACTGAAATCAGTTGGTGTTGAAATTTCGTTGGCGGCGAGTCAATGGGTTCTCGGCTCCCCCCTGCCTTGTTTTTGGTGTGTGTTATAACAGGACAAACCAGAGGTGAGTAGATCAGAAACAGTTTGAACTAATGGTGAGTGCACGAGCAAGGTAATCATGTAACTAAGGGAGACAACTCGTAGATGTCTTGTTAAAAAAAACACTACTAAAATCACACTAAATATGTTAAATATGTTAACACAAATACTATGTTCCAAAACCTCATATCACCCCTGTGTTATTTAAGAAACATGTAGAAACGCACAAGCAGTTCTAGTCTTTCACAAACGTCTGTTTTTAAAAACAAAAATATATTACAACTGTTAAGTGTCATTAATGTTTGTCACAATATAACATTTTCTTCCATATAGAGCTGGTTGAACAACATTCACTCACTCATTATACAAATCAACCAGCAATACTTTTTTAAAGTATTTTAACAGGTTCTCTTTAAAAAGAAACAAAATTTGTTTTTCTCTCTTAATTATGACATTTATATGAATCAATTGCTGCCAGGTGCTTCAACATGTAACAACACGACAGAATCCATCGTTTTTAGGGAAGTAAATTCTCAACCTAAACTTAGTTTAGAATGCCTAAATGGGGATAACCTCATCACCCGCCTCAAATAGGCTTCCTACAACAGACCACATTTCCTCCATTATCTTCTTGTGACAGAGTAACAGAGTAAATAGTTTATCGTATGTCGATCGGTAATGTTTCCAGTAAAGTCGACTTTCAAGTTTGTGCAATACGGATACATTAATAATGATTTCATAATATATACATATACATGTGTGTGTTCCCGACAGTAATAATGATCATTAGGAAGGTGGTGTTTCCATATTGAGGGTATATAATGTATTTGTAGACACCGATTTCCCTTAATAGGTTCTCTACATCTGACCCCATTTCCTACCAGGACAACGGAAGGGAACACCTACACCCTGATGTGTAGCAGCACTGCAGGTAGTCGGAACATACAGTGGTCGAGGAACAGTGATCTCATCGTACGTACACGTTATGTGTCTGCTACTCGGTGTGAAGAAGATGTAATCAACCCCCCCCGCTTTCAACACATTCCTGTCAGGACGTATCAATACCAGCTGCGAATTTAACCAACACAATGTAACACTCAGGATCACCGCGCAACAAGACAATGGCTCTGTGTGGAGGTGTGAGGATACTGTGAAGGGCGACATGAGCAACAACCTAACTATAGGTGAGTAGGAGACACATGTAGAAGTAAATCCTTGAAAGTAAAGCACGGTGAATCAACATATTCCATGTGTGTAAGTAAACTGCATGTGATTCGTATGTCAAACGGAGGTTGTAACTTGTGACTGAGAAACATACAGGTCGGACAAGAAATTTTAGCAACAAATCATTCGGTTTCGTTGTTAAAATCCAAAAGTGTTTACAAGGAAGGTCCTTTTCAGTTCATCTGAACCGTGTTGACATTATCACAAAATGAGTGAGTGGGTATGTATGGTGTTGTCCTCCTTTTAGCATTATTCCCGCAAAATCACGGTGGGACACCAGAAATGGACTTCACACGTTGTATGTATGTGCACGTGGAGAATCGAGTCCGTGTCTTCGGCGTGACGAGCGAACGCTTGAACCACTAGAATACCCCATCGCCTACTCTCACAAAGACACGCACATGCTTATTACATACATTATACAAATTTATAATTAATTTTCCAATATGAGTGTGGAACAGGTATTTACTATGGTTGGTAAAGCAGGAGTGAATATTTGCCAGAAGTGGTTAATATCTCATTTACAGTAGCCCGGTTATAATACATGATTAATGTTATGATTATATTTTGTAGTTTCCAGATACCATCAGGGGTTGGGTCTACAAATGTAACGGTAGTATCAAACGAAAATCAGTATTATCAGTTCAATGAACAAGTCGCGGTCTTAGCTGTTCGTCATATATATAACTCTCTCTCCGACATAAACTGCCGCAGCAAAGATGTGGTGTATGTTATGAGATGTTCGGGATGCGGCGAAAACTACATCGGTAAAACCGGCATGGAATTAAAAGATAGAGTCACTGTACACAATCAGCAGATTAGAGACCCTGATGTTCGATGCTTAGGTGTCAGCAAACACATTGATGATTGCGGAAACGGGAAATTTACTATTTTTCCGTTTTATAAAGTGTATACAAGTAACAAGCAGCTGAGAAAAGAAACAAATGTTTATCCATTTGATGAAACCCAAATTGAACACTAGAATGTATTAATAGATTTGTCATTTCAATCGTAAATGTTGCACTGTTACTTTACAAATACTGTATATTTAATTCAAATGCCTCCCTTCAATTGTTAAATTACTTGGTGTCGTCGCTGGAGTGTGTAAATACATTATGACGTCACAGTTTTAATTATGACGTCATCATAAGTATAATGTTATTGTCAGTTACACTGAAGAGCTGTCATGAGACAGTGAAAGTACTATGTTTGAAACTGATATAAAGAAGATGATGGACTAACGTGGACTTTATTGTTTATATATATATATATATATATATATATATGAATGTGACACGAATATATATATATATATACTCTCTCCCTGTGACCGTAACAACACATTCGTGTCACAACGTACCAAGAACAGTTTTATCAACCAATATGAATCATCGGATCATCATGACATGTATAATATATTGGTGTTATATATGGAAGTTGGTGTTTCTTGATTCTCGGTCATCATCCGGCCTTTTGGCGGTGTTTCATTGTGTTTGTTATTGAATAGCGGATATAATCTCCATTCTCTATAACTGTTATAAACTGACGTCCAAAAGAAACTTTACCAACTGAAAATATAAATTTCAGACAAAGTATTATTTTTTTTCGATGAAGTCTATCTAAAACAAATAACCTAAATACAACAATAATGTATGCAGAAAATGTTAATGGTCTGTTACATGTTTGCGAGCTAACACGCGAAAAAGTGAAAAACACATGCACCACTGCAAATGCACGTGCGGGTAAGGGTATGAAACGATTGCAACGCAAGTCAGACATCCACAGTGATAAAAAATCACAAAAGAAATGCCACGACTCACAGTCGAACAACGTGAACGAGCCTTGGGTATGGTACAGATGGGAGCCACCCACGCCCATATTGCACGAACCTTCGGTTGCTTTCGTGTTGCCGTTACCAACTTGACGAACGGCGGCGTGTTGCGTGCCGGAGGTCGTATCATATGGTGGAGGGAGTGTCATGGTGTGGGGGAGGGATCTGTGGGCAGGAGAGGACACCGCTAGTCATCGTTGACGGAAACGTGACAGCTCACGTTACATGGATAACATTCTTCGTCCAGTTGTCCTACCATTTCTCCAACAGCAGCCACGTGGTGTCATTTATCAGCATGACAACGCTACAGCCCATACAGCCAGAATTGTCACTAACTTCTTCGCAGCCAACAACGTCAACGACCTGCCGTGGCCTGCACGCTCACCCGACATGTCCCCCATAGAACACCTCTGGGACTTGATGGATCGTCGTGTTCGACAACGACCACACTCTCCAGCCAGCCGGCAAGAACTGATCTTGGTCCTCCAAGAAGAATGGCGTCAAATCCCACGTGACCTCATCAGACGACTGACTTTTTATGTGTGTCGAAGAGTTTTTGCGTATATTGAGGCATTTGGTGGTCACACACGCTACTAATGACTTGTTATTGAACGTGAGCGATTGTTAATGTACTCTGCCTATTGTCCATGATCCTGAAAACTGGTGGGCTCTGACGTCATTCTCGGTCGCGGTATTATTGTCATTTTCAGTGTTGATTATGTTGATATATTGAGCTTCTCAATGCACTTTACTTCATGCATGTATGTTTTGTTGTTTTTGAGCAAGAGTGATTACAAACTCTGGTAAAGTTTCTTTTGGACGTCAGTTTAGTTTTCGCCAAAACGTAGCTCTTCACATACGATCGCAATTACAACAGGCATGCATTACTGCATACATGCAGATATTGTATAATAGTGTCTTTAACAATTACTTATGATTGTATTATATTTATAAACATCTTTTAAAGAAAATCACCCTTTAGTCTTCCATTTCTCACAAACTTGGAACGTTCGACGAACAACGATTCCATCATAAAATAATATTGATCCTTCTATTATAATTTGTTAAATGGAGATCCTTTAGGGTATTGCCTATTTATATTTCCTATTTCCCATTTCATAGGTTTTATATATTGTGTGGATGTGTTCTTGTGTATTCACGTTTTACTTGCCAAATGTAGTAAATGCAGAAGAAAGTAGTGCAGCGTCGCCCGTCACATCAATGACATCTCCGACAGCGTCAAGTGAACGTAGAACTTCTATCAGCGAAGGTAAAGTTGTTGTTAAAACATATCTATTGAAAGATTCTACTTATTTACTTGACAATTGAACTTTTTTTTCTATAATATAATGACGTACTGGCAGTATCAAATATTAATGTAAGTCAGTTTTCTCATATTTCACTAATGACCTTCACTGATGCAGGCTTGTTTTATTTCTCAATAACTGTAATGTAACTGTGCACACTGGCTGTGAGACATCGCTTTCGAGGGTTACAATATTTATAAGTAATGTGAATATATACAAGATTGTCAATAGACATTGTGTATAATAGTTACAGAACGACAGTGAATGCATCCAGATGACTAACATTGTTTAAAGATTATATTGCAAAATTATCGAATATTTTTAAAAATATTAACCTTTTGGCATATGTATTGTCTTTGGCAGTTTGTTGTTTCATATTGCAGCTATATGGCGGTGGTCTGTAAATACTTGAGTATGGACAGACAATGCAGTAATTAGCATCATGAGCATCGATCCAAGCAATTGTGATACGATGACATGCATCAGTCAAGTTTATTTGGATGATGTGTGAAGTATGGTGGCAGATATCGAATGCGTTCGTTACTGAAAAAAGTACAGTTAAAAATATAGGCGAATTCATCTCCAATATGCCTTTGATTACTGAGTAAACAGTTTCTTTCATACAATGGTACTCTTCTCCATCTGCCAGTTTCTCCTTGAAGCCGATAATTTGATAATCTAGACATTTAACCTCCGCCAGCGGACGTGTGAGTAGGTGCTCGTTCACTGATGGATAGACATGAAGACAAAATCGACAAATTACTTCATAAAGTTGATTATTTAAGTAAAGAATCTCGTTAAGAGAAAACAAGACCTTAATAATTTGACACTACACTCTTCAAAAAAAGAAACGCACAGGTAGCATGCAGTTCATTGAACCTGACTACACAACAAATCCGGTTTATAAATTGGATATTTGTTATTGGAAAATGCTGGTGGCCTGATATTCGTCAAATGGTGCCTCAAAACACAGTCATTGTCGATTTGCAATGTCTTAAACGGCATTGTTTTCACACTTGTTAAAACATGTCATGGATGAAAACAGTAGAGCAAAATACACGTGCAAGTTATGGCATTCGTAAGTCGTGGTAGTGGCTATAAATAGGCAAGCATAAGCCATTAAATTATCAACATTTTTCGAGTGCAAAAATGCCGAGAACATCGCCATACGACGTATCTAAAGCGGGGAATCGCAGTCTTCTGTTGCACGCCACTTCAACGTCCACCGCAGCACCATTTGCCGCCTTTGTGACGGATACACACAGTTCAATTCCACTGCAGACCGTCCAAGAACCCGCCGACCAAGAGTTACCAACCCTGCACATGATCGCTACATTCGACTGTTCCATATACGTCATCGCAAAGCCACAGCTACAGAGACTGCAGGATACATCCCTGGTTTAAGGAGGATATCGGACCAGAGTGTCAGGAACCATCTTCCTATGCCACGAGGTCGGACTTGGTTGTGGTTCAGGGAAATGTGACAGCAAATCGCTACATGAATCAAATCCTTCAACATCACCTTCTTCCAATCATTGACCGCCAGAGGGAGCTGTTTCAACAGGACAACGCTCCACCGCACACAGCTCGCATCATGGTAGACTACCTCCTTAATGCCAACATCAATGCCTTGCCCTGGCCGTCGAGATATCCATATCTCAACCCAATCGAACACCTCTGGGATGAACTCAATCGACGTGTACGTCAACGTCAGAACACGCTGCAGACACTCCCACAACTGGCCAACGCGTTAGACAAAGCTTTTATCAATCTCCGGACAAAGCTTTTATCAATCCCTCTCTTAGATTGCCTGTTAAATATTATAAGCATTCTATTCATTCCAAAACTGTCTTTACACAGCATGTCAATATCGCTGTTATATACTTAATTAAATAAATCAATAAATGCAATTGTCCATTTTACTTGTTACAAGATAATCCATAGGTGGCATACAAGCTAAACCAGGTTGCATGAATCGGAAACGACTTTAATGCTAATCAGTACAGTGCTTTAATTTGAAAGCATATATAATACTTTAATGTATTACATACTAGTGTGTCATCGTAATACAGGGAAAGACAATGGTCACCAAAACAACCACAATATAAGTTGTAAGAGAAAAATACGTTTTGCCAGGCTAATATACCCACCATAACAGAATGTCCTGTCCTTATCAAGTTGAACAATTACGTGCTTTAATCCCATTATTAACTAAGTAGCAGATTTGCTCCTTTTTTGTTTGACGCCACACTAAGCCTCAATCCAGCTATATGATGGCAGTCTGTAAGTAATCGAGTCTTGACCAGACATCCAGTAATTGATATTATGAACTACGATCCACGCCGTGGGGATATGGTGATGGGAATCTATTCTAATAAACTATATACGGAAACTAATCAAAATTCAACTTTTTTTCGCAGCCAAATGTGACGCTCTGAAACAGAACTGTTAACGAATGCCTTTAACTTCCTATCCTGTTCAAATGTCTGTTGAGAGGGTATTAGTATGGATGTAAACATGTAAACGGATATAATGCATGCAGTGTTTCAAATGTTTTGGATAATGTGTTTTTATTCCATGCATCATCTGGGTGTTGTAATGTCTGATGCTAATTTTGCCAGAGGTGATGACTGTACGAACAACTTCTTCGCAATCTTCCGTCACTTCATTCATAGACAGAACCACCTCAAACACAGGTACGATGCTTCCAAAAGCGCCACGGTGAATGTACATATGTCTCTATGGTTGTTCAAGATTCTAGATAACAGTTTGTCTATTATCCTGTTGTATGAATAAAATGTCAATAAACTATCAACATATGAACACCAATTCAAGATGGTAAAACCCAGGTAGATGTTTACACCATAAACCTTATATTATTCAAAGTAAGGTGTTCATGTTATCTACACGGAGTCACAATGTTCCAGTACCTCAATACCGCAGCCTAATAACATGAAAGTTACTCTAGTTATCGATTGAAAACATGTTTTAGATGAACATAAACACATAACCTTTACACTATTATATTTGTCATTTCAGACATTTTATGTTTATCCCGCGATATCCCGCGAGAGGCACGGGCCACCGAGCCGTGGATGCCCGTGCCTATAATAAAAACAGAAGATGAGGTTGGGTTAAATGGCCGAGGGTGTGCAGGTACTAGTGGGCTACTTAGCTGCTAATTGTGTATACCAAAATGCTACCGTTGCCATGGCCACGCGCGTGGCCAACGGCGATTGCAGCTAGCGCTGCTGGCCTGAGACTGCTACCGCTGTCCGGCCCCCACGGTAGCATATTTAACCGCTACCATTGCTTGGCAACTCCCACGCTGCCAAAAACAGCTCCACGCTGCTGGCCAAAGCAGATCCCACTGCCTGGCCCCATTAGCAAAACCATTGTGCGGCTCCCGCCGTGGACCCAACTGTCAGCTACCGCTTGACAAGACGACTTCCGCCGCCGGGCCCATATACGTGGCAATTGTTTGCCCCAACGTATGTTATTTTACGATTCCCCGGCTGAAAAGTCGGGAAAGACAAGGTTCCCACTGAGAAGCAGGTAACCCCGGAAAGGTTCCCGCTGAAAAGCAGGTAGCCTTAAGCACGAGTATTAATTTGGAAGCAAGTTAATTTGTTACTAGCAGTGTAGCCCACAGGAACCCCGCCACAAAGCACCAGAGTGCTACCCCACACCCACGGCCACGCAAATACGCGGAGATAGCATTGTTGCCCGGCTTGCCTATGTACTGAAAGGAAACACTAACCTGTGGAGATAATATCCTTACTGGCGCAAAACAAGCGCCAGGGCATGCAATAAATTGTCCGTAAACACACACAGACCCTTGTCACTGAGGTGGACGCCCTCCCAGGCGTACCATGTCTTGTCTGATGCCAGGATCTGGGGATGTGGCACCATTGTATCGCCGAGCTCTTTGACTCGGTTGGCCAGTCGGCGGTTGATATTCTTCCGCATCCCCTCGATCTTTAGTGGGTCCCTGGCATCGTGCCAGTAGCGCCTGGGCAGCATTGAGGATACGATGATCTTGGTGTCAGGAAGCTGGAGTTGTACCCGAAGGATTGATGCCATCATGTCAAGGTAGAGTTGGCTGCCCTTGACCGAGCAAAGGTCGTTGGAGCCCAGGTGAATGATGAGGGCTCTGGGGCTGCGCCGTGTCGCCTTGACCTGTGTATCCAGGATGGTGTCCAGCTCCTTTCACCTCATCCCCCCTCGTGCCAGCCATAGCACCCTCGGTTGGTAGGAAATCGCTGTCCACCCATAGTTGGTCCTGAAACACTGAAATGCCGTTTTAACGCGTAAGAAATGTTAACCACATTTGTAGGTCTTCCTTGACCCAGCTAGTAATCCTAATGTTGTGAAATGATTGCTTACCTTTGCTAAGCAGATCGATTAGCCTGCGGCTGAATGCCCTTGCCATTGGTATAGCCCTGCACATAAAGTTAAGCTTGCCTATGAGGGACTGAAGGGCCCTTTTTGTGACCTTGATGTTACCTGTTGACAGGATGTCTTGGATTTCCCTTGTTGCCTCCTTGATCTTGGTCTCTGGGAATCTTGTCTGCATTGCAATGGTGTCGATTTCCAGCCCTAGGAATGTCAGTTTGGTTGTGGGGCCCACCGTCTTGTCGTGCGCAATAGGAACCCCAAGCTGTTCTAGTGTATTCACGCATCCGTTGAGGTTGTCTGAGCAGTGGCTGGTGCCTGCTGTGCCCCCCGTTAGGAAGTCATCCAGGTAATGCATGATCGGACACGTTGGAAGATGCGATTGCATGCACCATTGCAAGAAGGTACTAAACGTTTCAAATATGGCGCAAGATATGGAGCAGCCAAATGGTAAGCATTCATCGAAATAGAACTCACCTTCGAATCTTCGAAATCGGATGGGTGGACTGGTATAATTCTAAAGGCCGACTGAATGTCGAATTTTGCTAGTAGTGCTCCCTTTCCCAGTTGTTGAACCATATGGGTAGCTTCATCAAATCTGGCGTACACAACGGAGCAGGCCTCTGTGTCTATGAAGTCATTTATAGATTTACCCCTGGGATAGGATAGATGGTGAATTAGACGGAATTCCTCCGCATGCTTACCCGGGTGCTGACCATATCCTGGCTGCTTCTTGGGCACCAGGCCTATTGGGGATACTTGGAGGTTGTCTAGGGGGATGTCCTTGAAGCGGCCCGCCATCCTGCCAAGGTCGACTTCCTTTTGTAGTTTTTGTTTCACGTAGCCTGCCGTGTCTTGGTGCGTGGCTGATCGCAAGTTTCGTGCCAGGCGACCCGTGCGGCTTCCCTGGAACTCGAGCTTAAAGCCAGAGCTAAAACCTACCCATAAATAATTTGCATCTCTGTAATTGACCCTAGCATATTGGCGTAACCAGGGTGCCATTTCATTGAGATCCACTGGGGAAGGGGCCATTGAATTTACCTGCCTTGACGGCTGGTTTTCTGTTAGGAAAAGGCTGATTGGGCTTGTATGGGGTCGGTTGGACCCCATTCCCTCGAAAGCAGGTCCTAGAGCTATGGGAATGTTTGCCACACTTACCGCATTTGTGAGTGTTCTTACAGTTGACCCTGCTACAGCCAAATTTATTGAAATCCCAGCATACCTGACTGGCGATGTCCCCCTGTACGCGCGTCATTGCGCCCCGTCCGCCTGATTCTGGTTGTAGTACCGGCTGTGTTACCATGTACTTCAGCCAGAACTCCCCGTCGATGTTGTCCCAGCGTCGTGAGGGGTCCCTTGACATTCTGTGTCGGAATTGTTGGTCGTAGGTTGACCAGGCATCCCCCCACGAATCGAAGTGCCGCCGTTCTTATGGTTTCCATGTAGGACAGCAACCCCTGGGTTGTGCGGACCTCGGAGTGCCTACTAACATATATACACATGAAAATGTGGAAAGCTGAAGTCCAGCTTATCCCCGTATCCTGCGATGTGATTGGCTGGCCAAGCCGCGTCACCGTCGGCCTCGTTGGGAGCATCGGGGATTCTCCCTATGTTGGGCGAAATGGCGGGAGAACTAAAACCAAGCCTTACCTGTTGGTTTGCGCTAACCAGGCCGGGCGCTGAATGTTCCAGCAACTGGAGTATTTTTTCCAGTTGCTCGTTTACCTGGGTAGCCGAGTTGGCAGCCTGCGCGGCATTTACAAGCTGCGCCGATTGTATGTTAATTCTGTTGCCAGCTTCGATATTTCCGTAATTGGCAGACTCACCATCAGCTGTTGCCTCCTGCATAATGTGTACTCCCGGGGTTTGTCTCCTGGTTGTCCTGGCCTGCTTGGCTCCCCTCACAAGCCTGTGGTTGACGGCTGCTCTTCTCTTGGGGGGCATCACGAAAGGTCGAGGTGGTGAGTTGGTATTCCACAAGCGTAAAATTGTCCCGAGGGTGAAGTTCGGGAGTAGAACGGAATAAATGCGATACGGCGAGTGCTGAAATAGATGGTATTCGAAGCGTAATCGGCGAAACGGTCGCGATTGTGTAAATGCGATACGGCGAGTGTTTGAATAGATGGTATTCAAAGCGTAATCGGCGAAACGGTCGCGACTGGGTACAAAGGAAACGTACAAAGCGAAAGCGATTAGATACAGTGACACACGTGTGTACTTGGGGAAGGGCTGTTCACGAATGACGGACTAACAAAGGGCGGGATGATGCTTGCGCGGGATTATTCCCCGGGCACGGTGCCGAGTGGTGACCCGGGGTGATTGAGTTACGAGGGGTGATTGGGTTACAGACGTAATTAGCCCATGGTTTGGATACGCGCGATAAAGTCATTTAGTAGTTAGTACTAAATGTAATTATATTTCCATTTTTAAAAGATACACCGAATGTCGTCTACATTGTCATCGGAGTGATAGGTGGAGCTGTAGTAGGCTGCGTCATCACCGCCGCAGTCGTCATCGCATGGATGAAGAAGAGAAACATAAGTAGAGGTAATATAAACAATGCATAAGTAATCAATCAACTTATTGCTAATATCAGTGAAATGTGGTCCTGGACATGGTTCTCTTCTGTAAACACTTACAAGAAATGGCTAATGTTACTTTTGAGATGGAAATGGCTGTTGCCAATTGTTACACTGGTGCCTGCCAAAGAACGTGGTTTCTCTATAAGGAGGGAATGTAATAACTGCATGCAACTGAAGATATACTAAGAATAGGAAGTTCAGTGTTGTGGGTTTATAATAATTTACATTATACTAAGCGCTTGCCACCTTAATGGGTAAAGGTAAAGATTTAATATCCCATTCATATGCGCACATTTACACTTAGAGGTATTTTTGCATATAAGTATGTAAACTTACACACGTATGTAAAGGGCATGTGAACGCAATTGTATACATGTGTAATTTTTCCAGATGTCTAACTTGACACATATTCAAGAGATAGAGTAAACCTATATTTATTTCTATGAACGGCTCATGGTATTGCCATTTTGGTGATCGTATACAGACAAATGTGATTGTGATATATCAGTTCACGTGAAAACATTATACATGTCGTATGAGTACATAAATAGTTATTATTGTGCACATGAGCGGGTTTATAAACAGTTACGGAAGTTCTCTTACAACATGGCCTATCGCCATAAAGGGCGGCGTGATAGCTTTGGTAAAACCTACCCGCATGGGTGTATTACATCACAGACCAAGAGTCATACTGAGTGGAACCAGGAATTCATCCCCAC